ATCATAGTTGAAGGTCGATCATATCATCATAATAATATTCCAATTACAATTGATAGATTAATTTTATGATAACCCCTATCTTTTAACTTCTGATCTAATATAAAAAGATAATTATCATGCCATGTAACAGAATTAAAATATTCTCATAAGTACGTTGTTCAGTTAACAGGAAGTGAACCGATTTCATATATAGCAAAAATTTAAAAGAAGGGGTACGCTAGGGAGTTCGTCATAGTATACGTGTTACCACCTCAGAAGTATCGTGTAAAATTACGAATTGATTGTGCTATGAGATAGTACGGTTGCATATGTACTATAGTGACAGTTACCAAGTTAATATTAAATTGTAAGGAAAATAAATACAGAAATTGCTACGATATGCTAATATCGCACAGTATAATTAATTGTTAAATTTCGAATACTGTATATCTGAAATAGTATATTTTTATAAAATAGTTCTGTAATATCTTAAAATTGGTTTCCATCGTAACAACCCTACCTAACATAATAAAACATATCTAGGCGTAGAATTTTCAATAGCAAAGTAAACAAAATTTTGCTCGTATAAGATCGTAGGATACAGGTTACGTTAAAATAATTTAGAATATCAAAACTCAAAAGAACACGCTAAAACATCCAAGTTTGGCAAGGATTGATGAACTTCATCACTTGCTATAAGAACAAAGACTAGATATTAATAAACATTATTAATTTATCGACGTAATTTTGCGGAAATAAATGCACGTCATAGAGGTGCAAATAAATGTCAACATTGCCATTATGTTCCATTATCCAATCGAACATCTTTCTACTTAATTGATCCATCCAAGTTCCATCTATTGGACTATCTCTTACAATGTCAGATGGTCGATACCAAATTATTGCGAGACAGACTGATAACCAAGAAGATTGTTTATTTTCTCATTATGTTATTCTAGTACAATATTGGATAAATAGAGATGAAATAAACCATTATCATTTATTATTTTTTTCCGAAAATATGTTACTCTAGGCTATTGATGCTATGTTAAATTTGGTTGTTTAAGGATTACAAAAGCGGTTGAACATCGGATCAAATCTAATTTTGACAATCCGTATCTCTCTAGAATTTATACAATTATTTTATTTCAATAAATTGATGGTGTTTCTTCTACTCAAAGTTATATAGATTGAAGATTTATTCTTTAAAACGTTTCTTCAGTCGTACAAACTGATTTTAAACCAATAAAATACCCAATTACGAACAAATTTTTCGTAACTCAACCTTCTTAAGAACACGAAATGACATCCGCAGCTAGTTTAATGACCATCTTGTTGTTCATTTTGGCAATTACTAAAGGTTACCTACTTGATGAATCTCCATTATCAAGGCCTCCATCATCACCAACCCCATCATCTTTACCTACCACGAGTAATACACCAATTATAAGCAGACAACTAGTCAGAATAGCTATGAAAGGTCAAGTTTCTTTTGGTGGCTTATTTTCAACTCATTCAAGTTTTGACCGCAATAGTAAGCGTTGCTTGAATATTGACTGGGAACAGTTGGTTAACTTACAAGGCATGATTTATGCTGTGGAGCTAATCAATAATAGCTCATCGTTATTACCTAATGTAACGATTGGTTATGATATTCGAAATACTTGTGATAATCCTGATGTGGCAATGAAGCAGACATTAGATCTTTTACTTAAATTTCGTAGAAATGATTTATGCAACTCTCACCGAACCATAAGTAATAATAATCATTCTTTAAATCAACATCCTTTTTTGACTTCTCAGTTGGCGATGGATGACCAGCTCGTCGGAATTATCGGTGCTAAGAGTAGTAGAACAAGTTCAGATGTTCAAACGATTCTAAAGACGTTTACTATGCCTCAAATAAGTTATGCTGCATCTGATACCAAGCTGACCAATCGCCATCGGTTTCCAACATTTTTCAGAACTGTACCGATCGATAACTACTTGGCTAGAATTATTGCCGCAATACTATTACGCTTGAACTGGAACTTTATATCTATCGTTACCTTGAAATCAGAATACAGCCAATCGATTCATCGAGAGATGATGGAAATAATTAAAAAAAAAAGGACATGTGTTGATGAAAATTTAGTGATACCGGCGAATCCATTAGAGATAAATAATGCAATATCGAAAATCAAATCGAGTAAAGCACCAGTGGTCGTTTTATTAGTAGAAGAAAATGCTTTGGCAGATTTATTGCTCAGGTTTCAAAATCGACATGTAACTGGTAAAACATTCCTAACATCATGCGAATGGAATCAGGAAATGTGGAAGTTAGATCGATATGTCATCGGTGGCATGATGGGCATAACACTTAAACGACGTCCAAGCTTGCAATTTCAACAATATCTTACTGAGGTCTCCATTTGTAACAATATCAATCCTTCACTATTACCCTTTTGGCTTATGTTTCATGGCATTCACAATTTTACCGATGATAATGCGCAGCAAGTATGCCAAGATTATGTAAAGTACAATCCAGATAATGATGTTCGAAATCACCTACAACGCTTGTCTTATAACGCAGCTTATGTCATTGATGCAGTTTATGCCTTAGCTCATGCCCTTCATAAGACATTGCAATGTAATCAACACATTTGCCAAAAAACACCTAACGATCCGGAATTTCAATTAGCAAAAGTAATAGAAAATATGTATCGAATATCATTTCAAGGTATGACTTCAAAGGATTTCGAATTTAATGAAAATGGCGGTCCACATGACGTTGTTTATAACATCGTCAATTTAAAATGGTCGACAAAGCATCGCGTATTAAGACCTGTTACTGTAGGTAATTGGACACTTGGTAATGTAGAATTGCTATCAATCAATGAAAGTAAAGCAGGCTTTGGTCCCTATAACAATATATCCCAGTTACCTCAGATATGCGCAGCGACTTGTCAGCCCGGAGACTATTTCACCTATATCAGTAGACCGTTGTGCTGTTGGCAATGCCATGCATGTCCTTATAATACCTACAGTAATAAAACTAATGCTCCGGCTTGTAAGTCCTGTCCTTTAGGAAGTGCTAGCAGTAAAAATCAAACGACGTGTGAACTCATTAAACCCTTTGAATTAACTTATTCAAGTATGCAAAATGTAATTATGCTGATTGCTTATAGCATTACAGCCGCAAGCACACTTTTTACATGGGCAGTTATAATCAAATATCGAAATACTCCAGTGGTGAAAGCTTCCGATTTTGTTCTATCGCAAATGCTTCTTTTTGGTATTCTTATGTGCTTATCGGTCGCACCTTTATTTGGAGCTCCCATAAGTATATTTAATTGTACCATAACCCTATTTATATTTTGTATCTCGATAGCTTTTGTCATGTCTATCATATTGGTAAAAACCAATCGCATCTCTGCGATATTCAAAACCGGCTTTATCAAGTCTCAAAAATCAAAAATGTTATTAGGAGATCGAGGACCAGCTATTTTGGCCATTTTATTAACCACCATTGAAGTTGTAGTCTGTGTTGTTGCCAGTATATACGATCCTATCAAGCTTCGAAGACAAGTAATATCAGAACAATTAGTTTATTTGAATTGCCGTTCAAAAACAAGACTTGGTTACATAGTTGCCGTTGGTTATTTTGCTTTATTATGTCTAACATGCGTCTATTTAGCCTTTAAAACCAGAAAATTACCGGAAAATTTCTGCGAAGCAAAGTATATTAATTTCGCATCGATCACTATGCTGTTATCCTTAGCAACTATGACACCAGCCTATTTTGGCACGGTAGGACCCTTTCAAGCAGCTATTTCATCCTTTGGTATGATTATATTTGGTTCGTGTGTACTATGTTGCATGTTTGGGAAAAAACTCTATATAATTTTACTGCATCCTGAACTAAATACGAAAGAAAATGTCATGTTAGATATTGCTGCATATTCCTTCAATTCAGGTAGCAACAATAATACATTACTCTCTCAAAACAGAGTTCATGTAGGAAGTATTGACGCAGATATGGTCCAGCGGCGATCCTCTGCTATGATAACCCGACCAGCCAGTTTAGATTTATCGTCAGGACATGTTAATGTAGGGTTTTCGGATATCGATAGGCGTAAATCACTTCCTGAATCAGTTATTTTAAATATTACTAATAACACTGCGAGAGATTAATGTCGCGTTATTAAGGACTAAGGCATGACAGTATTCAACCGTCAACATTTATCCAAAGACACATAATAATATACTGATTAAGCGATTTGAATGGTACTTCCATCATCAAAGAAATTCAAGTAGCTCCACGCATTAGAAATGACACATGTTGAAATTTCGATGCTTTTTGAAAATAACTTAATGCCGAAGCTCTTATCATTTCATAAATTGGAATTTTCCTAGTCTTAAATAACCACCATTTTATTCCTATACAAGATGCCAAGTTTGATTTAAACAGTGGAAAATGTTTGGTCTCGTTATCGAATATTATTATACCTGGATTGCTTTTCCATGTCAGCAAATGCAATGAAATACTGCTTATGTTGTTTTTCATATCTATTTTAGAAATTTTTTACGAGCAGATTCGAAACCAATATCCAGTAAATAGCAGCTGGTGATACAGACGACAGTTCTACAGTAATAATTATAATCAAACTCACTATTTTTTCAAAATATTTTAGAAGCAATGTATTACTTTCCAGGTTTAATATACAATCGTCATACTTTGTTTTACGTTTTTACCTGTAATATGATACGGAAATATGTGAGACCGTAACTTTCATGTAACTTTCTACAGATAGAGTTTGAAAACTATTACTGGTGGGTGCTTATTTGTCGTAATAGGATATGATTTAAAGGATTAAATAAATTTAAATATTAAAAATTAAAATGTAATACATTAATAGTCCCTACCGATGCATTAATATCTGCGATATTTTTACAGGATAGAAATGCCGATTGTTTGTGGATATGATGGAGGTTGTGTACAAAATAGCCAAATATTCATAAGCCATAATATTTATGTCAATACTTATGAATATAATATTAACTTGCATAAATAAGAAATATATGTAATTGGCCTAGAGATTGTTTATCAAGATAATAAATAGGAAATCGTTTCTTTGAATTTATCGTATCTATATTCCTACTTTTGCCGCAGTTGATTAAAATGCAGCATATCATTGAGAAAGACTGGCTTAGAAATATCATCGACTTGTTAATTTATAGTAATTAATAGCTATCAAGAATAATTTTATGATTACGCTTCAGTACTGATAGTTCATCCAAAAGTATAAGTAGATATCATATACACCTCTTGAAATTGTGAAGCAATTTACTGTCTACACGTTTTCAGCCATGAGATACACTAGAAATGAATAATTTTTCTAGCGAACACTTTTGGTTCTACAAAATTTATGACTATCAGGATTTCAAGAAACCAATCTGTAATGATTCCAATGCCATTTGGGGATTCTTGATAACCTTCACATACGCGTAGTTGAGCTGTATATTATGATCTTGCAAATCGAGTCTGTTTAATCTAAATATTGGCATGATAAAATATAATATTAAATATCGTATACTTACCTGTAGTACCTTATTAGGTTATCGCTAGTGGATCTACGTATTGAATTATAATTATCAAGATTAGTTTTAAAATTGGATATGATAACACTATCGACAAAATTTTCTTGAAAGCAAAATCACTGAAATTTAAGGTATGCATACATTTTTAAATAATTTTTCGTACTTTATATTGGAAGCAATGCACCTATACAAGCTATTGCTATTAAACGCAACTGTACTCAAATATTTCATGTTAGTTTAATAGAATGAAGCTTGGATAGACTAATTAGCACGGTGAACAATATCAACGAAATAAGTAACGGCTAAAATTTAATTACAAAATTCTTACAAGTTTGTCACGTTGCAGTCCGTACAAATACAGATGAAATTGCTTTATCATGGATATAATCTAAGGCTGAAGGATTGCCATCTCTAGTATTAAGCGAAAAGGAGACCCAAAAGATTTGAAATCAGCTAAAGATATTAATGTATATGTTCTATAGCTATTCTCTTACACCATAGACGATTCAGTCGTAATCTTCAATGATTGTTTGCATATTCAAAGCACTCAATTTAAACGAATTTTGTCGACAGTTTATGGTCATTTAGCAATTTGCCGAAAATCTTTGGATCAAATATATATGTAATCATAGATTATTCATGTTAGCGATAACGATAGCATCTGATTTTTGGTATGCTCTTAGTCAACTGAAGCGAGATCGGCAGCTAAGCTTCCACGTGAATATCTACATTTATTCTGATTTCTTACCACCTTATATACTGTACAATACAGTACCTATACTGATCTAGTACGGAACAGAACTAGTGCCGTTAAGCTCTGATAAGGTTGCAATACAACCGATATGAATACAATACAAGAAATCATATAATTAGATACAGAGACGCTGGTAAATCCGTAACAATTCACATCCGAATTAGTATATATTTATGTTTATAGCAGACATAATTGTTTGAAACAATAGAGTGTTACTATCATAACTACCATTCGTTTTACTTCAGACCATGCTTACCTAATCATGAAAAGTAAAAAGCCATTTGCTACTTTAGGATGGATTCTTGCGCTACGGAAACTGATAAAGTATTTCTAATGAAATATGACCTTTGTGTAGAACTTATGTTTACAATGGCTTTGTGTAGACATACGTTAAATGGTTGAATACTGCTTTAATAAATAATCGAAATATACTGTAATATTCAGATTCCAAGGTACCGATATTTTGTAAACACTTCTTCTTTTTTGACTTTGGTATGTAATGTTTACATGTCCCAATCATGGCGTCGGCTAAATTTGCTTTACTACTTTCAAAAGAATCAAAAGTTACAAATTGTGTATCTATAAGCAATATCTTTACTTTATAATTATATTAAGATTGGGGCTTGTTTACGCCAAATCTCGACATAAAGCGTTACCTTATCTTAGTATTGATCAATTCTGAACCACTTGCTGCGAATAAATTTCTCTAAGAGAATTAATTGACAAGTTTACAGTTCAAAATTTTTATTAATTGTTTTACATGATTCTTTTATAAAGGCGTTCTTTACTGTATCATTCCCTCTTAATGCAACTTATCAGTCTTAGTAAACGCGTAATTTGTAATGTAAATATAGAAGATGCATTGATAGATAAACAAAAAGTATCAACTAGTTTAAAATTTGACATTGACATTTTTACCATATGTTCGCGAATATAATAATACAGGAATAATTATATTACGTCGCCCATCAATTTTCATCATTGGTCAGGCTCCTAGTGCTCTTATCATTATTGTTGTATTATAGTTTCGCAACGTAGTTGCATATGTCTTAACTACTGATTGCCCCAATAAATTTAGATTCTAAATTCTTGTTCAATCTACTGGTAAATTACAAATTGTACTAGTTATAACTTTCAATCGTAATTTTAGCATTTGAAATCACAGACGCAATTATAATTACAGGCTTAAAAGTCAATTTTAAATCCCAGTTATTTTTGTATCTGAAATGCAATCTATTTAATGCTGAAATATCGTAGCGAATTGAAGGTGATATTAAGTGCAACCTTTTCTTACTTATATTACTAGCGGTTAAGAAGTTTTTTATTTGCTGTTCGTTACCGTACTAATTCCTTTGTATTTTAAAAGGATTTTATTCTCTTCTTAATCGTAAATGGACCCTATCACGATTACGATTATCGAGATTTACTAACTGAGGTTACAGAAGATTAAGGCAACAGTCGGACCTTTGTTTTACTTTATTAGTGTTATTTCTAGGTCTTTTATTTTATTTTACTTATCTGGAAATAAAGACCAAACCTGCTCTTTATAGAATTGCAAGATTAGATTTAAGCAGTTACCTTTTATAAAGGCCTCAAGTTTAGTTTTCGGTTCATTGAACCCCAAATCACCACTTATTTATTGTTACGGGCTGTTTGATAACTTTTAATTCTCAATTTGGAATATCATGGGCATCATAAGAATTTACTTGATATTTATTATGTACGCTTTCCTTCAGAAATCTGTTAATAGCCAAAGGGGATCCCTTTTACTTGAAAATTTAAATTACACCAATCAGACTATGGCATATCTACCAGGACATATTATGATTACCGGCCTATTTTCCGTTCACTACAATTATGATCCTTTCACTAGAAGCTGCCGCTATCTAAATGAGCAAAGTGTTCAATGGATTCAAGCGATGATTTATTCTATCGATCAAATAAATAACCGTAGCGATATTTTGCCTAATATTACCCTCGGTTACGATATTCGAGATACTTGCGATAGTGCTAGTTTAGGTATATTGCAGGCAATTAGTCTTATTCATAATCGAATTCAATATGGAATCCATAATCCTAGTAATACTATGCTATGCCAAAGTGCAAATTCATCGAAATTATACCAGCCGCAAGTAGTTGGCATTATTGGTGGTAAAAGAAGTCGTGTTAGCATCCCTGTTGCATCCTTAGTTGGTAATTTTGATTTGCCTCAAATAAGTTATTCGTCAACATCTCCAGTTTTAGCTGATCGTCGGCGGTATAAAACATTTTATCGTACAGTACCATCAGATACTTATCAAGTTTCCGCTTTGATCGATATTATTAAACATTTCGATTGGAATTATATATCTATTATTGCTATCGATGATAGTTATGGCCGCCAGGGTGTTAGCGAAATTAATAAGCAGACAAGGCATAATGAGATTTGTACAGCAGTGGTAGAATACATCAGCGATCCTAGTGATCGATCGACGATCAGCCGAATACTGCAACGAATTGAACTATTTCCTAAGGCTAAAGCTATTATCCTATTTACAACTGAATTTGATGCGGTCAATATAATTCAGGAAGCAGAAAAGAGAAATTTAACGGGTCTTATTTTTATTGGCACCGATGCATGGAGTGATTCGTTAAAATTTACGCGACTTGATCCAAAGGTTATTGGAGGAATGCTAGGTGTATCTTTAGATGGTAAAAATGATCCCAAATTTGATCAGTATCTACGAAGTCGGGATTTATGCAATAATCGGATTAATCCTTGGTTTATCGAGATGTGGAAGAGTGAACTTAGTCACTTAAATCTAGATACGAATGAAATTATGCAGCAATGTAATATTATTACAGAACTACATCAAAACTATACCCATGACTTTTATTATCGAACCTCCAAAGCGGCATATGTTATGGATGCGGTTAAAGCATTAGCTGTAGCTGTCCATAAAGCTCTCGGTTGCACAAATGATTCTTGTTCAGCTGAAAATTTAAGAGGAATAGATAAATTTCGCTTATTGGAAGAATTGGTCAATGTTTCATTCCATGGAATTAGTGTTCGAAAATTTCACTTTACTTCAACCGGTGATGGAGTACCCAAGTATACGATAGTTAATTTACAGCCAGATAACGTAGACAAAAATCGCATGAAATTTGTTAAAATTGGCACCTGGAGTTTCCGACAACTATCTGAACAGCCGTCGTTGGAAATTAATGATTCTAAAATTATATGGAACGGCGATCGACCATGGTATGATATTCCTTCTTCCAATTGTTCCAATCATTGCCTGCCAGGAACTGTACGAGTGATCAATTCTCGTGAAACATGCTGTTGGCAATGTTTTCCTTGCTCTAATCTATCCATTTCTAATGAAACCAATGCCAAAACATGCCATACCTGCTCCAAATTTTATCACCCCAATATCAATCATACGGTATGCAACCCGAATCAGATAGAAAAGATTGAACCACTTTCAACATTGGCTATTTTCATCTACTTTGTTGTAGTCATCGCCCTTTTGCTCACATTAATAACATGGGGATTATTCATAAAATATCGCAAAACAGCCATTGTAAAAGCTTCTAATTTTACTGTATCCAATTTATTACTCTTTTCTATTTGCTATTGCTCACTGGTACCCATATTATTTTTACTTCCAAAATCAAGATTTACTTGTGAATTAGCGGTCATTGGATTTGGAAGCTCATTAACTATAGTTATGCTAACGATTGTCTCCAAAACTAAAACGGTCGCAAAAGTATTTAATGGTGAACTGGGAAATACGAACGGCAAAAAGAAAACCTATAAATTACTTCAAGCTGTTTTACCAATTTCTATCACTATCGCGCAAATATGCGTTTGCTCTGTTGCCATCCATTTCGATCCGGTTAAGGTCACCTTGATAGCAGTAACTCGCAACAGAATTCATTTACAATGTTCTTCAAAATATAAAATTGCTTTCCTATTAGCTTTCGCCTTTATTGCGCTTTCAAATCTAATTTGCATTTATTTAGCATTTAAAACTCGAAAATTGCCTGAAAATTTTAACGAAGCAAAGTACATCTGTTTCACTGCTTTAATCATGTTTTGTATCGTAGTTACTTTAATACCTAGTTTCTTTACCACAACAGGGCCTTTGCAAGATGCTATTGCAGCGTTTGGCTGTGCTGCATTCGCACTTGCTGCTTTATTTTGCATTTTTGCTAATAAAATTTATGTCATGTTATTTCAACCTGACTTAAATTGCCGTGAACAAGTCATATTAAGTGTTACAAATTACGCCTTTACCAATGTCTCTCCCAGGTGTACACCGACAGCGACACCAAGAAATAATCGTAAGCGAGATAACTCCAGACTCAATGTTATTGAATCCTCATTTCATAATCCGGATTGCTCTTCATCGGATGCAGACCGATCAGGTTCAAGCTCAAATCGTTCATCCTTACGCGAAAAGATACATGTTATTAACACTGCTCAATTAACAGAGCGTTAACTTTTGCTACTAAAGTATGACCATTATTCGATTAGCATCATCTCGGTACGACTAATCCAGTATAGACACGATTAATTATTGGCAATTTCTTCTTCAAATGAAAAAAATACCAATATATATAAAGTAAAAATGATATTATCTGGATGATGCCGCAAAATTAAATTATTTTGCATTGAATCTATTTACAGTAATGAAAATGGATATTCCAGCTCCGATATATGTAATATAAATATATGTCTACAGAATGTAAATAAGTAATTGTATTGCAAATACTGACGCAATTTATAGGGCTTAGGTGCTCTACTACGGGACAGTATGTTGACGTACTTGTTGTAATTGGTAATAATTAACAATTTTATATTAAATATTCAGAATTGTCTCTACAAATTATGTTACTTAAGCTTACCTATAAACAGTTAATAGTGATCTTGAAAATGTAAAGCTTAATAACCTTAAAACTTCGCCAAATATACCAAAAAATACAAGAAAGTAAATAAAATTTTATCCTACACGGGTAACTTTGTTCGCAATACATTTTGTGTAGTATTGCTTTCCACCCATAAGCATAACGTTTGCTGTAACAGAAAATTTTAACCACTTCAATGGGCAAATGAACAAACCATATTAATCAAAGAAATGAACATTTGATCAAACAAATATCAACCCCACATGCGACCTTAGCAACTTTATTGCTGATATGATGTGCGATACCTTCCTCAAGTTAAGACGTTTCAGAATCGAAATTATATTTTCAGCAGTTGGTTTTAGAGCAATTTACCATGATACAGACAAGATGTGCTATGAGGATCATCCCAGATTGGCAAAATTTTGAAATTATGGAATCTTATCTTCCGTCGAATTACGTACAGAGATCATTTACTAGACAAATGAATTGCATTACATATAAATCCTGAGTGTGTAATCTTCACATTACAGTTTTGTACTTTTAATTCTTCCGTAAGCTAAAAGTCTCGAAATAACACTGGACTAATTTGTACATTTCCAAGATACAGAAAATATATTTGCGTTTAATCAAATTCAGGATCAGCATATATGCATGGTAAATTAATCGCATAAAAGCAGCTCTAATATTTCATTTACATAAACTTAATAAAGAAATTTAATTTTGAAAATAGATATATCTTAAAGATAACATGAAACATTATAATATAAATCAAAATCCCTTTATCATGCAGGAATTAATTATAATTTTTGTGGAGACATTTTGATCAAATTCGTAGAAGTCATTATGATGTACTGGTTAAAATAAATTTTCTTGGCGGAGAATACAGGTACGTAGAATGCTCGGAGTAGCTTATGCGACCTAAAGAAATACAATAGATTTGTTCAAAAAACAATTGCCGTTAGTATCGACTCGTCTGATATATAAATGCGCTTTAACCAGATACTACAACAATATTAGTTTCGTACCGGTTAGCATCTAAAAACGGATACGTTATGATACTTTTCCAGTTTGCCACGTCTTTGGAATAGGATGGTTCAAACGGTGTAGCAACTGAAGTTTCCAAATCTACCAAAATATGGCAGTTTTGTATCTTGAACTATAATTTTATAAGATGAAAAATTTTTGCGATTTCATTCTAGGTGAAAGAGGTGCATGCTGTTGTTGCGAATTAACGTTGATAGTTTTGTAAATTTGTTGTATACATAGCGACTAGGTTCTTCCTTATTTTGATCATTCATGTCGGTTGGAATTATTCTAGTAGCCAATGGTTTAGCTTCGTACGGCTTTGGTAGTTGGCCACGGAATTCTGATTTCACAAATTGTAGTTGGCATCTTTACCCAAATCGATGAGATGAAACGTCATTATTTATAATCAGATGTAGTTATTCAATTACCCAATTATTACTTAATATATACGTATACCTATTCGGAAGGAAAAAATTGCTAGGAAATCGATGCCATTCTTTTCCTACGCATACGTTGATATCTTGGAATTTGCTTATTGACTTATATTCCGAAACTAACGTAGGTAACTGTTTGTAAACCTCAATCGGTGCTTGATATCCTAGGGTAATTAATAAGTTTACCTAAAAATTTCTACGCCGATGAAATTAAAGTAATTTTAGATTATAGAATTTTAAAGCATACCTATGTGTAATACCATAGTTCGGGATAAGGACAGCAGCATATACAGGAGGAACGTCGATGCAACACCCAAACGAAAGAATGTTCGAATAAACGAATGTGAATTTTTATATATATTCTCTACAAATGACTGGAGCATAAAGAACATGATTTCAGTTTACTGTATTTCACTATTCCAAAAAAGTGAGACTAAAATAATGCAATAAATCAATTACTTGACATTCAGAAAGAGCCATGGCTGCAGAACAAGCTATTAGAGGATATATAGGAAATAAGAATCGTTCTTCCTATAGTACAACAACAAAATTACATTCCTTCTCATACAAATGGAATAATAAATATTTTTTTTAACGTCGTTGCTACCTTGTGTGGTCTAGTAAAGAAAATTCCAATCCATAGATACATGGGTGATAAAACCGTTAGCACTTTCACCACGTTATATCCTATAGTATAGCGTTTAGAAGGTGCAATTACCGCATACTTTATTTCATAACTATCATGGCTGTAATGCATTCAAATTGATTATTAAAAGCACTTAGGGTTAACAGATATTCCAACTGATTAATATCAATAGACTTACCCCCACGAATATTGTAAAGCTTTCTTATGATAACAACTCCGATCTATTACCATTGATTATAGTAAAAGAGTTCAACATAACTGTGAATAATCAGCTATCATTCAAATTACCAGAATGCAATGGTATTGATTGGTTACATACCCAAATGGGTAAAGAACATATTGCCAGGACAAAAGCAACATTAAAATTTAAGAATCCATTAATAAAATAAAATGTCCATGATTCCACACCTAATGGCCATCAATAAAGTACTTCAGAATTGGTCGTAATTACTTATCAATTCGTTAACGTTTTCAAGAATCATACCGTATAATTCCGGACCTTTACCAGAAAGTACATTGTACATAACAATGTTCAATGGGGCGATAGTCAATTTTCCATAGTAGTATGAATCAATGGCTAATAATGGAGCCTATAGGGGATAAATTTTAAAAGAGACATTTCAATACTTTAGAGCTTTTGCTTGAATGGAAAAAATTTAGCAAAGAAGACTTTGCATAACTTGTAAAAAATTACACTACAAGGTAAATCGATTCAGTAAAGAGAATGGTATCAGTAATACTCTCACCATAATAACGATGAGCCATATAAAGGTCCATTTTATGAAATAAGTAATCAGATTTTGGCATAACGCAATATAAACTGCTCCAGGAATTCTAGAATCCAATTTGTACATAATAAAATCTGTCATCACCATTTGACAAGTCCGAATTTCTAGAAGGGTTTACAAGATTTCACCGAAAATTTGTTGTTAAGCATACCCTAAGACAGCAACGAAAGGCCAACCCCACAAGGTTCCTAAGCCAATGGCAAATATGAACATCTAGAATTGAAGTAGCAATAAACGACAAAACTTGAGGTTTGTCTCGTGTTGACGTGATTCTGATAGGATCAGCTAATATAAATTTTTCCGTCTTAAGGTATGAATAATATCTGTCGCAAGATTACCTTATAGTTTCCATGAAAGAGTGCACCATAAGCAGCCATGGTAGTCAACATAGTGAAACTGCTAGGCAAAAAAGCTAGAGAAACGGTAATAATGGTGAAGTTGCATATGCTTGCATAATTAGTTTGAAGTGCTGGGTTTTGTATGTTGAAGGCGAAATATAATTGGAAAGTAGATTATGAAGTTGTAACTGTGAAATACATGTCGATGACATAAGGTAACTGACTACACATTATAGAGGGTAGAATTTAACAGATAGTAAGGAATACGTGTATTTTCTGATAAGGTATATGACCATTTCATCATCACATTCGGTTTTAAACGTATTACAAGACAGGTAAAATTTCTCACCGGCGCTAGAAATATACATTCCACTACCGATCAAGAGAAACACCAAAGTGTATCGACTCATTCTTGCGTCGAAAAATTTGCTAATTCCTCTGTAGAGAAGAAAAAATTACGATACTATTAGTTGCATAGCTTTCGTTGCAAGGAGTCAAAATTGCTAGCTAATGAATGAATGGATTGTATGATAACTACTCAATATTTAGAAGCAAATATTAAGTTTACGAACGATAGATTAATCCTTCCCTGATACGATGGATAGTACACATGCGTAACGACTCTTAATACAGTTGGCCCAGGTTCTCAATGATATTTGAAAATCGTTACAAGAAATTACTGTATGTCGATATTTCATTGTGTAACATACTGTCGTGATTTCACATAATGCTAATAATGTAAAGCAAAGGATTCCGTAGCGTAGAATAGTGGTAGTGCTGTATGAAGCAATTGTGGATGATGGTGGTATATTGAAATGTACACAGATTTTTTCATTTACAAGTAAATGATGCAGATATCGAAAGCTTATAAATGCTTATAGTTGTAAGAATGGCGCAAAGTCGTTTCTAGGATCAAATGCATGCTATAACTTGGACCATCCCATTCTACTCAAGCTGCTAAATCACACTGATTCAGTAACTTTTTGCCTCATAAACCACAAATAGGGAAAAACACGCATTGTGGCATTTTACAGATTGTGATTATAATAATAATTAATTAAAACAATAATCCTGCAAAGATTAAGAGTAACGGAACAGAAAGCTATCTTGTTGATACGCACCGGTAGAAATAAGCTTCTGAAACAGCACAGCAAACTCCTAGCCATATTCTGACAAGATAAAAGGCATAAATCTATACGAGCCATAGAAGAAAAAGCACCTGTTCATTCAACAATCTTATATCTAGTAGTGTAGTACCAAAATGTGATTGGATGGATAAACCAACAAATTAATGTTATTATGTAGGATTCGATGTAATTTAAGATTATTTATCCATAAGATGATCTATCTTACCTTGTCTAATGATAAGAATTGAACGGGCCATGCAAACACAGCGTGCAATAGCACATATGCATAAGATCGAATTGCAAATTGAGGCGAATATTCCCACGTTTGCAGTCCATTTCCATATAGCATATAATGCATCTAGCAAACCGATCAATGCATGAAGATGATCAATACACAGAATCATTTATCCCTCTCCTATACTGCATCACGACTCATTTTGGTCAATTTTTTACGACAACAACGTTTCGATATCGTTCGTTTTTTCGATAGAAAGAGACATACAGTACTCTTCAAACGGATTCATTTAGGTTATGCCTGTCTTATTGATTCTAGTGCTTTCATTGCTGCATCATACGTTTGACAACATGCCGAAGCCTACTGTTGTGCAATTTATCTCAACGATATCAACTACGATTGCAATCATGGCGGTCATCATCGACAGTCATTGAATGATAATGAAGACTTACCGGTTCCCAATAATTAAAAGTCTCATCACAATCAGTAACATGAACGGTTAAAGCTGCAATTATTCTAGCAAAGAGTAACAATTGCAAAGCTAAGAGAGCTCCAGGCCATTGCGATCGTTTCCTAGATACAGGTCTTTCTTCCTGCTGGTCATCCACATGTTGCAGATATAGGCCATCACTTCGTTCACTCGTAAATCGATGGCGAATATCCATTACGATGGCTGACAATGTTGCTCAACCTCTCAAAGAAGCCACAGGAAGTGCGATTTTCAACACTATCCACAATCACCGACTGCATCCACTTAGCAAGAGTGCTACTTTCCCAGGATTAGCGTTGATGAAATCGCTAGTAGAGCCTGAAGACGTGATGGCGCAGGCGTATCCTAGCCATCGCCACTAACGTCCTATACGCTAGTCTAGTGTCCCATTCAATCCTTTACTCCAAATCCTATCGAGGATGTACTATGACGAGACGGTAACATGGCACACACCGTTAGCCTTTATATGGCAAGGGGCCAAACCTTCTAACATGGCGGCAACCTTTCTGCTGTACGTCTAGCAGCATATTCGCTGTTGGACCTTTCTACGTTTAACAGCAAATTAAAAGTTGGATAGTTCTACATCCAACAGCATATTAGCTGTTAGACCTTTCTACATACAACAGCATATTAGCTGTTGGACCTTTCTACGTTTAATAGCAAATTAAAAGTTGGATAGTTCTACGTCCAACAGCATATTAGCTGTTGGACCTTTCTACGTTTAACAGCAAATTAAAAGTTGGATATTTCTACGTCCAACAACATATTCAACAGCATATTAGCTGTTGGACCTTTCTACGTTTAATAGCAAATTAAAAGTTGGATATTTCTACGTCCAACAACATATTCAACAGCATATTAGCTGTTGGACCTTTCTACGTTTAACAGCAAATTAAAAGTTGGATAGTTCTACATCCAACAGCATATTAGCTGTTAGACCTTTCTACATACAACAGCATATTAGCTGTTGGACCTTTCTACGTTTAACAGCAAATTAAAAGTTGGATATTTCTACGTCCAACAACATATTCAACAGCATATTAGCTGTTGGGCCTTTCTACGTTTAACAGCAAATTAAAAGTTGGATATTTCTACATCCAACAGCATATTCAACAGCATATTATCTGTTGGACCTTTCTACGTTTAACAGCAAATTAAAAGTTGGATAGTTCTACGTCCAACAGCATATTAGCTGTTAGACCTTTCCACGTCCAGCAGCATATTAACTGTAGGACCTTTCTACGCCTAGGAGCATATTAACAGTTGGACCTCTATCTATGTCCAGCCGCCTATTAACTGTTGTATCTTTCCACGTCCAGCAGCATATTAGCTGTTGGACATTTCTACGTCCAGCAGCATACAGTATTCGCTGTTGGACTTTTCTACGTCCAGCAGCATATTAGCGGTTGGGCATTTCTACGTCCACCAGAATAAAGTATTAGCTGTTAAACTTTTCAATAAAATGAATAAATAAATTACAAGTGCATGAGATTGAGTTCTATACGCGTATGTTATAGCATCTTTCATTGATGCTAGGCTGTCCTGTAAATAGGGAAGGATTAAGTGCATTCGATGGACCTAGGCTTTTTTTATTATACGATATCATACAAATAGACGAAATACTATGTCCATCGACGTAGTCATCATCTTTATGAGGCATACTACCACTGGACACTTCCTTGGACAAGACGATGGTCTAACTAGCAATACTGTGCAAAATAATAATATTATTAATGGTTTATTTCTAATACTCAATAGGAATAAATTACTGATTCAGAACGAGCCACTCTATTCTCGTGACTATTATTCTGATGTGCTTTCAATATTCAGTGGCTTTAGTCTACAGTCAAAGCATGAGATGTATCCGCACTAAACCAGGCTTATTAGCAGTCGATGGCAACGATTTGAGCGGCTTCCTACTGTACTTCTTGAAGTGAAATGAGGCAAGATTGGTGCTAAAACATACGATTCAATTAGTAATTCCGATCGAGCTCTCTACTGTATTTTAATGACTATAATTGTGAAGAGCTTTCAGTCTTGTCTAGCTCTCCATTGGATGCATAGTAGACTTGCAGTCCTCTACGTTTGCTCTCTGTTGCTATAAAATAGTGTATTTGGACGCTAGTTTAAGTCCCATTTTTTCCATTTTTTTGGGTTAGAAAGACTAGAAACACTCATAGCTTCTATATAGTGTTTAGTCTGTACACTCTTAATTGTACACTGAAACATTAGTCTATGGGCGGTCGATTGGTATCAACGAGTCGTAGCGTATGGATTATTGCAACACCAGCCCTTCTACTGTACTCGGTTGGCAGAGGCAGTGCACGAAGGAGAGCAGCTTGAATGCCTGGGTTGGAGATGCAGCATCAATATTGCTAGTGGATACCATTCCGATTTGGCAGGATATTGATACATTTTTAACGCTTGAATAGTGATTGAACATTGAGCCAGGCTATTGTAGGTTATTTCTTTACTGGACAAGAATCATCATGATGAGTAGGAGCAGAATGATTTACGTTGCAAACGTCAGCAGAATTGCATGGCGGATTGTGCTGCTAGATCAACGATTCAGCAGCAACTGTGCAAGCAACAAGAGCAATGTTAGAGTTCGCTTTGCACCAAGTCCGACTGGTATGCTGCATTTAGGTGGCTTACGGACTATGTTGTACAATTATTTATTTGCACGGCAACAACGAGGTCAAGTAATCTTGAGAATTGAAGATACTGATCAAGTAAGTAAACTTACAGGACCTAGGCAACGCTGTCCAACTGCTAGTCTTGGCAGATGGATATCCAAGAGAGGATGGGCTATTGCACCATCACACTGAGGCTGGCCAGGTACTATTGACTATGGATCAATAAGAGTTTCAATTTTCCTTTTGCATAGACACGTCTAGTTCCTGGAGCTGATAAAAAGCTAGAAGAAATCATTTGGTGGTCTGGCCTACACTATGATGAGGGGCCTTCCGTTGCAGGTGAATATGGGCCGTACTATCAGGTAGGCAAGCAGTCGTACAACTTCATTTCGTATCCTTCCTAGCAATGACCAGCTGATGCTCCAGCAGATGGCAATCAACGTAGTATATAGTCTAAGCTTAATCTCTAGACATGACTGATGCTCAATTGCCTATACTTTGAAAAATATTGAATGTATCTATTGGCAGTCTCAAAGGATTCCTCTCTATCAAAAATATGCCAATCGGTTGATAGAAGTAAGTTCCATCGGACTGCTACTGTCATTATTGCTAATGTTAGTTTTGTGTTGATATGCATATCATAATCAGATCGTAATTGGCTTACTTTATTCTTGTAGAATGATTACGCGTATCCTTGCTTTTGTACGCAACGAGAATTGGACCTTGTCAAGATGCAGAATATCAAGAGTGGCTTAAATCCAAGATACAACGGTAAATGCCGTAGTATAAGTCGTGAAATTGCCTCGGCTAGAATTCAGAATGGTGAGAGCCATGTCATTCGATTAAAGGTGAGAGACCGTTAGCAGAGATTCGATTAAACTACAGTATATACGGTATGTTGACTCTTATATGTTGTAAACGAAATTTCCTATCATAATGGCCCGATCCTGAAATTGTTAATTGCTGTTTTAGTTGAAATTGGATTGACTATTTTACTGATCGCCCCATTGTAGGTTCCCGATGGCCAGACAAACTTCTATGACCAGGTGTATGGTGAAATGAGCATTGATAACAAATCCATTGAAGATCAGGTTGAATAAACTAAGAATAATCATGTTAACCAATATTGCCAAGTCTAAAATGCCTAAATGCAATTATGTAATGAGATGGCGCTCTTTTAATCAGTGTTTTTTTATTTAAAACAAATTGAAGGTTTTAATTAAATCGGATGGTTTTCCTACTTATCATATGGCAAATGTCGTGGACGATCATTTAATGGATATTACGCATGTTTTACGAGGAGAGGTAATGGAAGCGTGTGCTTAGAATAAAAAATTAGTATAGACGATAACTTAATATATAACCATTCATTACAACCATGTCCATTCTAATGCAATATGCCATTTCCATACATCTCCTCAGGAATGGCTTTCCTCAACAGCAAAACATGCTTTAATATATAAAGGGCTGACATGGATTTGTCCTCAATTTGTTCATTTGCCTCTATTGCACAATATGTAAACAATATGTAATAGTCTTCGTATTACAATTACTATAGTAGTCTGAATTTATTGCATTGATAGAGTGATTCTGACCTATTTAGAACTGGAGGAAAGTTATCTAAACGGCATGGCGATGTCTTTGTGGAAAGTTTCAAGGTATGCCATGCAATGAAATTGAGTATTAATGGTGCGACGCATATACTAGACTAAAGCATGAAACTTTTGCATCATATCTCACAGACAGCGGGCTATATGCCTGAGGCCGTGGTGAATTTTGTTGCATTCTTAGGCTGGTCTCCTGATCCTACTGGAAGGAGACAACTGTTTACGATTGATGAGATGATCAATGAGGTAAATGTAATAATGATAAAGCAACCGTATGTAATGAGAAGAAATTCTTATTATGCAACTTTTACGAAATAATTACAGTTTAGCTTGGAAAATCTGAGACGAACGGCGGCAAAAGTTGATTATCAAAAGCTATCATGGTTTCAGAGGCAATACCACACTACACGATGCAAGAATGAATCAAAATTAGAAGCATTAGTAAGCGAGCTAAAAGAATTGGTAATAAAAACGACATGTAATGGGTGAGAAAGAACATCACGTACTCTAATAGGTTTTCATTCATATCTCTCAATCTAACATTAATTGCCCTTGCAGTACGAACAGTTGTCATAGTGAACTTTTAAATAACGATTATCTAAAAAGGATTATCCTATCACTTGAGGTATCGTGCATTCTATTGAACGATTTTATTTCTGCGAGCATGTATTTCTCTTTGTTATGTCATTGCTTTGTGGCAGAGCTAATACCTTATCGGTTATGGTAGGATCGAAGGCCCTTAATTCCAGAAATTGCTACCAAATGTTACTATTATTGGTTGGATCCCTCCATCAATGCTAATGATATGAAAACAATTACTTCTAAACCACGTACGGAAATACTTAATTATAGCATTAATAGTAAAATATATTTGAAGCGTGTCTAAAACAAAAACTGGATAAAATTAGCACCTAAATTGTTAGTAATTCCTGCTTTGCTATAGATGAAATTATCAATCAATTTATCCAGTATTTCAAGGATACAAAGACTGAAATGATTGACGACAATCAGATAAATTTATGTTTAAAAGAGTTACAGAGGGATTACTCTATTAATAAAAAGTCATTTATGACTTTAATACGGTATTGCTTGACCGGAGAAAAGGTAAGAAGGCCTTGTTATTTTAAGCTGCTTCACTCTGTTCTTAAAGATATACTTACAAATTAATTGAACCTCGGTGTAGCAATGGATAAATGCCGTATTTTAATCCATTATCGCTTTCTTACATCCTTGTAGGTTGGAGAACCGGTGTCGATATTGTTTAATCTTCTAAAGAAAGAAGTCATACAGCGTAGATTATCGGTTGCATCTTCTCTTGCATCGTAGCACAGGTTTTTGATAGATTTAGATAAATTTTATTGCAAGATATACTATTTCATAAAATGCTTCAAATCCATGCATACTATTAAATTTGGAAGGAGTTGGTGTAGAGAGATTCCTCCAGGATATTTACGTGTAAATAAAATCGTCGACTACTATTTGCTGCTAATATTTGACTTGTATTTATGCTCGGCATATTACCTACTGGAAATACTGCTCGATGCAGATCTTTTTTTGACTTCGCTCGGTGAATCTCAATTGAGAAAAGTTTATATCGAAAAAATTATGTATAGTTTCCAACCATCGTTAAGTTTAATATTAAAAATAGAATCCAATCCAATCCACCAGTCTAGCAAATTTATATGCCAAAGTTAAAATTGTACTACTTAATAATGCATTCAGGAATAATTTAAAACTATCGATTTACAAGTATATTTCTTTATTGCATTTCACCCACTCACGGTATAATGGTGGTATGCCAGCTGCTGCTTCAACAGCAGATATCGACGATATTAATTTAGAAATATATATTGCAATGGAGTATTTGGAATTATCCGTATTAAAGTTTAGCCTGTTTTATTCAGTGCTTTGCGGTGTAAGTATCGACCGTAAAGTTTTCTTTGATTATTTTATAAATTAGTGCTGTATAATTTTTAAATCGAATAAATTTTACTATCTACAATTAATAATCAGTATTATTTCTTAATTGGAAAATGGGGAAATATAGACCTTACTTCTAGTTCCTGTATAAAAATCTAATGAGTACAAGAACCTCTTTAGATCACGAACCAACGTGATACATTTCGCAAGCATGCTATGAATTTCATATTAATGTCATGCTACTTCATACTAACTTAAATTTTCCATAGCTGTCAACACTAGAAAGGAAAATTGTATTGGATTAAAAGAGTTACAATTAAAGAACTTACAGCAAGTTTGAAAGATGGAATTAGCTAGAAATCGGCAAACTCATTCGACTGCCTTTAGAAAAATCGAAACTTTATAATTGCCCGGAAATTGCGTACTGTAGCTAATCCCATGATCTCTTTGCCTTAACCTTACCTAGTGAATTTTGCAGCTGAAAGACTTAAGATTATCAATTTATTTAAATTGGATCATTAATGATTGAACTATAATGGCTGAAACCAATGGCGATGAAAACTCAAGATTTATGCAAGGAATTGCTGAGAACGTTTAATACACGATAATCCGATCAATGGGATTAATCTGTTCCGGTAAAGTAAAATCTTGAAATCTAAGGATTGAACGAGAATCATTGATGTCTACGCATTCATGAGAAGATCATTGGTTTGGAATGAAAAGTTTTAAATTCTATCAGATAGTTTCTTACTTCTCCTATGGCAAACGTCGTTAACGACCATTCGACAGATATCATTCTACTGAGAGATGCGGTAATAGATAGAGAGTGCAGTACTCGCAGAGCCTAGTAACTATTCCTATTGGTTTAACTTATTCTCAAGCTCCACCTTTCCAAACACAATATCGAAATAGGATTTCACGCAATATTCAATTTATTATTGACTAGATGATACTGTAATTGGGATGCAGTCAAGCCTGCATCTCACAGAAATATTTCTTTTCCTTAGCCAGCCTAGCATCAATACGTGTAGAATAACAAAAAATGGAACAATTTTGAATTTGTTTTTTACTCCGTATTTAACAATTCGCAAGAATTTTTGCCGATTAATTCTAATGCTGCTATTAACTTTGATATAATAATATCTGTTACATAATTTTGATATATTAATAACCTGCAAAAAGTCATCGAAATCCTAAGTTATGTTCAGTAGAAAGATTTAAGGATTGAAATTTTATAGAATACTTTGCACAAATATCAACTTGTCTTCTACATAATTTTAACTAAAGTAGGAAATTTTGGCATCGCCTATGAGTACTATAGAAAGCAGGGCACTTGCATGAAGCTGTAGTAAATTTTGTTCTAATGGTCGATTACTTAATCTACTTACTCTCTAGTCTGCGATATCGACTCTAATTCTGATAAAATATTTTAATGTTACTACTCGATAATTTCACGTATAAAAATGATATCAACCAGCAATGACTTGTATGCAAGCCACAGGTTACATTTAAGCTACTTGAATTAAAGTACAGTAATACGACAAGGCTTCATTTAAAACCTTGATCGAGGTTTTATGATAACTATGCAATCGTTTGAATAAAAATACACCAGTAACTACAGATCGTTGCGAGTTATGTGTAAAAGAAAAACTCACATTGACATTTATCATAACAAAACCTATTTGCTCAGTATATACGCGCATGTTTGCAGTAATTCTAGATTTTGAAAGGCGTCTTTAAGTGATTCTATGGATAGATTTATTTTTATAATGACTGTAGAACTACTTGATATTGTAACATAAAAGCATCTATATAGCGATAAGAGTTAAGAGTAAATAGGAAACTGTAATTAGAAGCAGTTTACTTCATCAATCGGATTTAATTTTACCTAAGAAGATTGATGGCAAAATTTGTTGACCGAAAATACACAAGTATGTTTACAGTTAAGCTAGTTCTTTAATGACCTCTTTAAATGATTTTATGTCGTGATATAAGAATGCTTGTACGAGTATATAAGCAAATTGACTCCAATATGTATGAATTAGTTATCGTTCCGTGCTTAACATTACATAGTGTTAGAAAAAACATGACAAAAAAAAACAGCCAGCTTTATTGAAGTAAAATACTACAGCTTTAGTAGAAAATATGATACAGTTTTCAACTCTCTGATGCTGTAACTTCTTATTGGTGACAGAGTTTGTCCTTCAAGCATTAAAGGAATTAAAAAATCGTAATCGTATAGAACGTATTACCAGTCTTTCAATACTTAATTCTATACGTAATATAGAACGCATATGTCAATCGTAGCAATCCTTCTTTACAATTGGAGCTAAAATTGCTTGCTAAGCTGGCGTTGGTGTATTTTCTAAATCTTTAAAGAATTCGCTAGCTCGTGGTGGATAGAGTCAACGATATTAACGAAGACCCTATATGCTTTAGATCCACATTCTGGTAAAATATCTAATAGAGCACTAAGTTTTCTATAAAGTGAGCGAAAAATAGTAAATTAGCAAGCGTAATTTATCTTCACGGAGGAGAAATTATTTCTGAATTTGATAATCCAAATAATCCCTTAATTCAGTTTATAAAAGTACTTTGCTAAAATTTACGCAAAGCTCCTCATTTTATTGCTAAAGAGAAGTCTTTCTTACTTTCGATGGGTTTTCTCCGCCAATATATCTGCTTTTTGTTCTGATGTGATAATTTTTTGGCAAAACAATTCATTTAAGACAGGTTCAACGCTGTATGATAAATTCTCAAGTATATTAGTTCTGTTTTCCTGCAGACGCTCTCGATGTTTTTTTGACATACCTGTTATAGCTTTATTAAAAATCACCGGTAATATTACTATACGAGATTATAATCAAAAATGAAATTTTTATCTACTATAACCAGTGCAATTTCTACAAAGTATTCGATCAGAGCTAATAAACTGATGGTAATTGACAATGAATAAGGTATCTGTATCACAGAAGCATAGATAATTTCATCAGTATTTTAGCTAGTGGTTTATTTCATAAATAGCGATCGTTGATTATGACTAATCTTTTACTGTAAAGACGATAATTTGTGCTGGAAGTGGTCAAGTGAACTGCAAAATTTACAATTAATCTACAGATTTTCTACTAAAGCTAAAGAAAATTTGACTCAATCTACGGTATGTCTCGATTTAAAATGTAATGTCAAAAAACAGTTCTTCACAACAAACTGACATTAAGAGTAAAGTTCTAACGATTCTTTAATTATTCCACTAAATAATATCCATTTGCTGACTTAGTTTAGCTATGTCTATATGATAAGGCTAATTTAATATTGAATTACTTTAGCTCAAGATAATCGTGCAGGTAAAAATGTTTAACCATAACTATTGTCTGACATCATGTAAAAATATCAATACTGTATAAATATCTTAGTGCTATATAAGCTGAAAGCAGCAAGAATAGCTATTAGAGTAGAAGAGACCTAACTTATAGTACCAGTTTGCACTCTATGATTGGCTTTCTTTTAGAGCAAACACGCATGCAATTTTCTATAGCTTAAAATGTGCAATTTGATTTAATCACCAGGTGTTTCTATATTTTTTACGGCTCCAACCCCATCATGTGAATCTTGGCCTTGGGCAGTTGAATCTATGATTTGATGTTAGATTAAAATATTATTAGAGATGTGGTTTAGAATTGCTATGCCTGCAATTATTTATGACGAAGGTAGGCAATATTTAATCTAAGGTATTCAAAAGCATTAAAATATTCTCAATAATGTAAGAAATTTTTTATTTCGCTTTTAATATTGGATATTTACGTCAGTTTAAAGTACTCTTGTAGATATATGGCAATAAAATATTTTGAAACCTCATCGTTGTAATCAATCTACTCATTCATGTATGAGCTCTTAATCAATTATCTTTATCGAGTAACCTACTAAATTATACATCATTCAAACTGCTGAAAAATATCAATGATCCATAATTAACATATTATCATTTTACAGCATCTACTAACGTGTACATTGCCAAAATTAATGTAAATTTGTTCTAATCTCGATTATTTTAGCTATCATTTTAAAATCATTAATTACCACCGCAAGCTTCATTTCTCAGTTTAAGACCTAAATTTTGAAGCGCTGAGGCTTGATTTCCTTGCAATACTTCACAGAATTTATCAAAATCCCTATCTTCTTTTCGCTCCAGAAAACGAAGAAATTTCGCATTCTGTTTCTTTTCTGGTTTTATATCTTCCAGTTCATCCATTTCATCATAATTCAAGACTTTCTTAGTATTTAAATCAATTAAGAGGTGTTTGACAGATAAATCATTAGTAAGTTTCTCCCGATTATTATCGATTACTTTCTGAATATGATCACTTAAACCCATAGTAGCACTGTTGGTACACCTTTGGTTTAGCTTACAATAACTTGATGCAAGATCCTATTTAAATTATAATCTGAAAAATTAATACGAATGCGAATTAATTGCGATAAAAATAAAAAATTGCTATAGATAATGATTTGAATCAAACCATGTTTGATTCTTGTTAGGCCAAGATCGACGAGATTACATTTAGTATAATTATATTTAGTATAATTAAGCCAATAATTTAGTCTATTTCCTAACAAAAGCGCGTGCTTGTTCAGCTTGATGATCTGAGAGGGTACAGGCATTTTCATAGTAGTACGCTGATACAATCTGTATATTTATCGCAGATAATTGTATTGCGCTACTAAAATATGGCCGGAAGAGAAAAACAAAGATAAAAGGAAGGTGTTTCTAATACTTAATTAGACTGAATTTTACTATATTTTGTCTACATTACTCTATCATTAAGATGCTTTGCATTGCACGATGCTTTTTTATTCTACATTCAACTTTGCTAATACAGGAAAATTAGTACTTTCGAAGGAGTAGATCTGATCACTAATTCTCTTCAGATTCAAGTTAAACAACCCTTTACATCTAGATTTCATTATCTCGCATCTTTGAAGGTGTAGGCAATCAATGACACCTTACCATAGCATCTCCACTGTGTATTACAAACTTTCCTAGAATATAAATGCTCCGATCTATTCTTATGTTAAATTCATATTTAAGGTATATTGGTATGAATTCAAGATAATACACTAAATAGCTTGCAGATATCGATTTGCATCTTAATATACTATAAATATAGGATTGTTACGATGCGTAAGCTCGTCCTAATTATAATTATTGAGTAATATTAAATATTGCTTGTGTGGATTGACGTTTTATTAATTGTCATTTCTTCATATAACTTGTTTAATCTTTGATTAATATGATAATGCACTGTTAGTGTTGTTGACAATTGATTTAATTAATTAATTATATCATTAAGGTGTTAAATTGTCACCTCGTGTTTACTAGTTAATCTCTTTATTAATTTATTAATTAAATATCAGTTCTTAACAATAGAGGTTGTTAATTAATTATCTTATATGAAGTCTTTAGTGGCAATATTCATAATAATTCCTATAACTTTAAAAGGATACTTTTATATTATATGCACCAGGAGTTTCTGACGAGACTATAAAAGGCTGATGCCTGAAGATTCCTTTTTAGTTCGTTAGTCGGTTAGATAGTCAACTAGTTTTCAATTGATATTTAATTGTGAAGACTATAATCTTGGGTGCCAAGATTCCTTCATTAATAAATGATAGTAAATCTCTGACTATCTCGTCTACATCATCTGTGACGCTATAATTATACCATAGTATTCGGTTGTTGGAACTGAATTAGTTGGTGATATAACTAATCTCGCCTCTTTAAGTTAGTAAGTGGCGTTCTCCGCAAGGATTGGCGTGTGTAGACTACTTTGTCACTAGTGGTGTGTGACAAGGATGTCATGGATTAAGTCTCTGCCGGTTGTTACGAACTATAATCAAACTCAACACTATATAGCGAAAGTAATTCAAGATGTAAACTTTAGTATTTATGAAATGGATTGGATATCTGCTGGTAGTTGCAAACTATAATCAAGTTTTAGATTATATAGCAAAAGAACTAAGGATATAATCTTTTAGTAGTTATCCCATACAATTTCACCGATAAGTATCCTCAGTAGGTAATGCTAGAGGACACGATTTTTATTCAATTAGCACATAGGTTTCTCTAAATAAGTATTTTAAATCTTAATAATTATCTTTTGCTTCTAGGTCAAGCTTGGTGGTTGTTGTGCGTAAGAATCAATTAATGTTGCAATAACGTGGACAAATCTAATTTCTAGATCATATTACTTTATAATTGAACAAGTATTCGTCGACAAGATGTTTCTGAGTTATTTTAAATTTGATGTATTATCCAATGTTAATCCTCGAAGAGTAACAAGCGATGGCAAAAGGCCATGTCTAAATACAGGTCTAGCATATCATGCGAGCAAATCACCAAGTCATGATAACTTGAATTTATGACTTTAATGTATCCTACTTTGCACCTTAGATTAGATATTATATTACCTGATCACGTTTTAATAGTAATTAAAATTAGTAAGCTGTTAATTTTTAAAGTCTGAAGTGGACTGATCTCAATGCAAAGCCAATGCAGAATGTAGTATGAAATGTAAAACACGAAGGATGATGTAAAGAGCCCGTATAAGCAATTAAAAATTTTTTAAGTTTTAGGTGACAAATTTACTGTAGATTAGGTGAATGGTTCTCTGGCGATGCTAATACATAAGAATGCAGCAATGTTAAAGCTATCTATAACAAAATGGTTATTCAATGTTGATACTTGAGAATTAGTAAATAGATCCTTCATTTAAGAATTAAATTACTGAGCAATTTATCGTTTTCATAATTTCCTTTAAAGTACGAAGCAATTTCCTTACCAGCACTTTAGTCTGGTACTCCAAGTACTTCCTTCCTTGCGAAATAATCCTTCGATAGCAAAGGTCTCTAGCACGATTTCGCATCTGAAACCTATACAAAGTCCAAAAGTTGCTTGTCCACTATACTATATGCTATCATTTTTGGCATGCGCTGTGGAAATTAGCAATTACTTTCCAAATCATTCTACTATAATAAAAAGCCTTGAGAAAATAGTATAAAATACTATAGAATTGTTTACTTAATTGACTTAGTACGTGGCGTCCATCTGTGCCACTTGCGAGTAGTGATAGAAATCATTGCAAACTATTCCAAAAGCGCATACAGTAATAACGACAGGAAGAAGTTATCGTATCATTTTGGATAGCCAGCTATTGATTGATCTAACTTAAGTTCATTAGAATAATAAGAAAGCAGTGATCTAAATACTTTCTCGTATAGATGCTTGCAGGTCTATCTCATAATATTCACCATCAAAAGAAATAGTATGCAATACAGATGGAAGGGTGCTTCTCAAGAATACAGAATTAGATGAATGTAAAATTATAGTAAAGCCGCAAGATTACGTTAGGTCATATTGGATAGCAAATTAAAGATTGGTCTCATCCAAGATTATTGTGAAAATAAGAAAATATTAATCTATGTAACTTTTTGCATAGATGCTTGCTGTTCTATCTCATCATGTGCACAATTAAAGTAGACAGTATCCAGTATAGACGGAAGAGCGCTTCGTAAAAGCATGGAATGAGATGAAAATTAATTATCGTAAAATTGCAAGATCAAAGTAGGTTGTATAGCTTAACAAGCTAAAGATTGATCTGATCAAAGCTCAATAAGATAATAGGGAAATAATGATTGGAATATCAGCTCTTATAAATATTTGTTATTCTATCTTACCACGTCTACAATCAAAATAGCTAAGAGTGCTTCCAAGAATATAGAGAGAGATGAATATTAAATACAGTAAAGCGGTAATATTATCCCATGTCTGATGGGACAGCAAACTACAGATTGATCTGGTTCAAGCGTATATAGATACTTGCTATTCTATCTCATCACGTCTACTATCAAAGTAAATTGGAAGTAGTTCTGGGAAATGAATATATCTCCCTAATTCGTAGTGAGGATCAAAAATAACCTATTGGTTCTAAACTATAAATATCAGCGGTAGATAACCTGATCGCAAGGTTAGAATGTATCCTATTCCGCTGCTATTGATTATAGTAATGTTAAAAGCGAGTGTATAGCCCGCAAATATAATGAAAGAATTTTTACTTTACTATTTCGATAGCAATACACTATAAATCGCAATGTTGAAATGTAGACCTTGGAATCTAAAGTGTATCTACTTAAAAATATCGATGGATATTATTAGTTCTTATTAAACAATTTTACGTTGCTATTTAGATAGAAATATACCACAAAGAGAATGGTGAAATCTAGACTTGGGATCTAAAGAATACATACTTCTAAATATTACTTGTAATTATTAATACCAATAATAAAATGCAATAACAAGAAATATTCTAAGTTTGCCCAATCTTCTGAATTTGAAAGCGTTCTGTTACGGTGATTGCTGATGATAAATGTATAATTATCATAACAGAGTTTAAGACTTGATTTATTGAGGTCATTAACCATAAATCAATATTGACGTTTTCAGCCATAAGCCTAACATGGCAACAATACTGCTGGCTCTATTAAGAGGGTGATACGATTTAATTTATTATTTTATATAATGAAGCCGTTATCCACTAAGAATATTAAACAGTGATTGAAACTATTATGATAAAACGAGTAAAAATTATAAAGCATACAGAAATTATTACTTCTAAAATGGGTTATCATACGCCTTTTAGAAGTACATATTCTGATAATAAAACTACTCTATAGTATAGCTAAGGATCCAAACAGGTAAGGACTCATTCAACAGTTAGAAAATAGTTAAAATTTTATTGGAATTGCTATCCTATTGAAATACTAAGAATATCCCAACTTCAACTATGTATGAGTATATTGAAGCTTTTCGACGATATCTTTTCTCCCTATCGCCAATAATACTGGTGCTACAGCTGATGCAGTAAATTTTGTCGGATGTCTCTGAGAAAATTGTTTGATGACAGCAAATGCTCTATCAAATTCAGACGAATGATCTTTAGCAATAACATCGGTGTCTATGGCCATATCCAAAGCTAAGGCAAATTTCGCCCAGTCAGTTCCTATACTGCTTACAATCATCAGCACTAAATTTAGAACGATAAATTATAATATCAGCTGTAAAAATAATAGTCGAACTTAACGAAATGGAATCCCAAGTATGAATAACAATAAATTATTAGTATGCGCTTTGAGTAAAACTGCATCTTTTACAAGTCATGCTTTCTGAAGGTCATTCAGATGGTAACGAATTACTAATGAATTATTTAAGATTAGGGATTGAATTCCTTAACAAAAATCGTAATCTCTGATAAATATCATGAATTACAACCAGCAGTCATGTCATTCACAGTCACCACATTTCTAATGCATATTAGAAGCATTGCCAGTGACAATGAACATAGAAAAGCAGGTGAGTTAAAAATGAAGCAATGAATTTTTGATGGCACTGAGTTTCTAAAATTATCACCTTGAGGCTGGAAAAGTTGATCAGGAGCCATTTGATTAGGATTCAGTGGCGCATCCACTAGTTATTGTGAATGCCAATAAATTAGAAATGTAATTTTAAATTTATGATCATAATTTATTCGATAAAATAGCTTCCATTTAACCAAAGCAACGCTTCAACTCATGATATATGAATATAGAAAATCTACCTTCATCTCCTGAATGCTTTCCTTTAGAAGAACCTATAATGAGCAATTCCAAATGTCTCATATTAGCTATATGTATGTAAAGGTGTTAAATAACACACAAATATAGGGGATATAATTTCAAGTAAAAATAGCTAACTAAAGTCTATAATTTCATTTTCACATATGACATGATAATCCATTTAATGCGTAATGGACTAGAAAGTAAGTTATTCATTCGATAAAAATTTCTACTTTATAGCTCGATATGTTTCCTATAGTAAGATTTTAAACTTTATGCATAAATGCTGTATCTTAAAAATCAGCAATTCATTCAATATGGCTGAGTTTTATCCATAGAGTATCTTATATGATAATCTTTTATGCAATTAAAGGAGTTATTTGTTGAAGACAACTGGCATTTACTTTTATCGTCTGGATATAAAGAAACAATTCCACCACCTGCCGGATTGGGGTCTGATAATGAAGACTTACTAGCTTTTCCACCTTCCAGAACAAAAGAATACATGTCGATAATAATAATAATTGATATATAGATTAGTTTGTCAAGTCACTTTTATTAAGACGAAGAGCATAGAATTTATGACTAATTTGCTGGGTATATCTTGCAAAAATCTAGTTGGTTTTTACTATAATAAATCTATGATATTGCTCTAAAATGCTGTGTCTAGCACACAAACAACTAGGACAGTTTATGATTTTGATAATTTAGGAATCTATCTAAATTTGAGCAATTACTAAAAACTATAATTTTTTCTGATTTGATATTAGTATTCAGGAATGAGTTACAAATTTCGGAGATAACAATTCTAGGCTAATTATTTTTCTTTAGTCATATCATAATATCGTTTTAAGTTGGTCTATCTACAAGAATCTAATAGGTAGCCAAGGGTTACTACGTCGGTAAAACAAAAATTTGAATGAAACGCTTTATGTAATTAAGTATTCTTACTAAAACTTTCTTTTTCCATTAGTTTTCCTAATTCTTGAATTGCTGTGGCTTCCGATCGTTGCAATAGATAGCAAAATTCAAGCCAGTTTTCATCTGATCGATTCTCTAAAATTCTTATAAACTGAAGGTTTAGACTTTTATCCTGTTGAATCAAATATAGTTTATCTGATTCATCATAGGTAATAATTCCAATTAAGTCCGGCAAGATGGTCCTAACGTTTATTTCCTTCATAATCCGATCCCTATATTTAGTTAGAACTGCCCGGTTTTTATCGTTTAATCCCATGATAAAAAAATTTGCTATTACTGGATTTTTATTCCGAAATTCAAAATACGAGTTATTTGATCCAGAACAGATTCTAGGTGGCGATGGTGAAATACAGATCAAGACTTGGCTTAATGTTTGTTGGTCTTTAAGGAGGTAACTTGTTAAAGAAATCAGCTAAAGTATCGTAGTAAAAAGATACATTTTAAAATTTGTTAGTGACAAAAGCAAATGTCAATCAAAGATATCAAGCGAGTAATTAACGACATAAGCCATTTATCTAATATTGCTTGCATTGTTCTTTTCTAGTAAAAATATTAATAGCTTCTGAAGTATAGTGAGAAAGGAATAAGTAGTCATTTTGTTCAATTAGAAATATCAAATAAAGATCGTCAACAAATATATAGTAGCTCGTTCCAGTTACGTTCGTTCTTGTGTACTTTATAAGCCAAATATTGTGTAGATTATTATAGATGCAAAATAACTAGCTAATCATCAAAATTTTTCTTTAGACTAGTTAAGTTTACGTCTTTTAGGAAGGCTCATTGAATGTCTTTTTAATCTTTAATTGCTTAGCTCCAGTATTTCATGATGTAAGGCAGTTAGGTAAATATAAGAATCTTATTAACTTAAACGATACAATGATTGTGGTAACGGAACTTTTATAGAAGATACCAAAAATATTTCCTTCTTAATTTATTTCTGAACTATTAAAATGAAACTAGACTGTTCAGAATCCAATGGATACTTTTACTCCTATTTATTAACAAACTTTGGAAAATTCCATGCTGCATGAGTTAAGATGTTACTTTAAACACCTTTTAGATCACGATATTAACCAAAAAATTGCTACAAGTAAAATAGGCATCATGAAGTAGCGAACAGATCAATTTGAAGATAATTGCAATTGATGAATTTTTAATCCTGACCTAATGTTATGAGTACAGCTTGAGTATTATGTAATTTATTAATAGGCAAAATTATAAACCGTAAGAAATCCGCGAAGCAGAAGCAGTAAACCTATTGCTCATGAATGTATTTCTCTTCAGAAATTGGCATTTGGTTTCCAAAAGCTAGGGATTATTTCATTAGCATAACGAAATAATTTTTTATACTTGAATGTTTTCTTGTGATTTAATCCCCATATTTACGTTATCTGAGCTAAGAATTATTGATAACGTTCTCTGAAGCAGGTAATAATGATATTTTAGATCTTGCAGATATTATAAATTAGGTATTATAGATTATAGATAAGTCCTAGAGGCTCGTAGAAAATAAAACTTTCCTCTTTTGATATTTAATATTTGAAATCAGAGCAGATTCATGATTAGCATGACTACATGCAACTTAGACAGTCTAACTGATTGAAAATCGTATCTTGCACAAATAAGTAAAAATAGGTTTCGTAATTCCACTACTAACTGAAGTATTGACTTCAAACTCATCAATGTCAAGTAAGATAATCATTAGATTAAAATATCGAACTAACTAAACGTGTAAATTACCTTTAGCCAAATGGTACGCTTGCGGAGTTTATGCTAGTTCTAGATGAAGACAAACCTTCTGTACGACTTACGACGAGAGGAAAAAGATTTTATCTAATTTGTATCATTGCAGCCCCCAAATTTCCGGAGAATGAACAATTGGCGCTGTTGCTTTCAAATAATTGTAAATAGATCTAAAAAGGGCAAATGGCCGTCATAGCATTGCATCTAAATTATCTGGCCAATCAATTAAATGATACATTGTCGTATAATAATGAAGGGCAAGACAGCCTATTATTCAAATCGATATTGTGATAACAAAAAGGCAAATTTCTATATTTTATCGGCTGTACTAGAACATTCTATCTTAGGGAATGGAAGATGCTTTTATTAACTATAAAACTATCGAGTATCTGCTTTTGATTATAAAAATATAAAAGACGATTTAAAAATTTGGGGGACATTGTGATAACATCAGCCCACCTGATACAACTTTAATGGATTCCGGAAAATAATCTTACTGAAGCAGAATAAAATGTGGCTAACTCTCTTAGAAAATTATTCATTATGAAGAATAATTAAATTATAGTAGGTCATAAATTCACCTATACTGATTGCAAGTCCATTTTTTTCGATCATTATTATCTAATCTATTGGAATAGAATTTGTCTAAGTTTCATATACTCGCAATAGTAATGTGTAGTATATCAGTTAGATGACGAATACACTTTTGCATTACGCTACACTTTTGCAATATAAGGTATTCCAAGTACTATTTTTAAATTGCAACTTGTAAGCCAATAATTTCCTGTAAAATTAAATTTTGCAGTTGCTATAAGCGTAGTTAGAGCAACAAACATTTCAAAATTAGCCCTATAGTGGATAATGGAAACTAGTTCAATGTAAAGCCTTTATTAAATTTTTCACTGATGCTTTAACTTGAGCTAGAATTTTTGATTAACCAAATAAGAAAGTCATAATAAACACCTGTTATAGGCACTAAAGCTCATTATTAACGTACGCTTATTACGAAATTGTAGGCTTGTACTGCTTCAAAGATTATGGTAAGGAATCTGACACGAAAATCGTATTTTAACTTGCTCTTGTACGCGTAGGCCATTTTACTACTTTAATTTAGAAGGCTCTGTTATAGAATGCGAATATGATATTGAGAAATTATCACCTACTGAAGTCTTAGGTAACTATTAAGAAGTAGTTCTAGGAAAAGGCTAGATATATCGTAATATGTGAACAGGTATACCATACGGCGATGTCATATAATATCTGTACAATACTACTGTTCATTGCTAATTTTACTAACATCGAAGTAGATTTAGTACAAGTAATACATTTTTGTTTAATGCTTTGGAACAAATAATTACCAGTATAGTAGATAATTCTGCTTATATCCAACATCTATTAGTTACTACAAGGGTACTTCTCATTTGCCATTTGTATATCCAAAAGTAATTTCCACAATACTTGTATAAATGCAGGAAATTAGACCAACTGCGTCTTATTGATTAGCTGTGATTCATTAATAAGTTGAAACAACTTTGACATATTAGGTAGCCTATATGAAAGTAACTGTTTAGTTTATCAATACTGTTCTTGTAACAAAGAGTTAGACTTCTAAAAATTATCGGATGCTATTGATACTATAAATTATATTTACCACTTCAAGGCTACTAAGAAAATTAGCTGGGTGGTCGATAGTTTAGACTGTTGGAAATAATGCAACTAATTAAGACAAAATTGCTTTATTTCAGCTTTTAATCAATCTTCAATTTTATAAAATAAAATTCCCTAGATCTTTACGGTAAAGTACTGGTTCTTGTCTTAGACTTAAACACAGTCCCACGAGTCATGATGCATCTACTATGAACCCTGTTAGACCTAAAGAGATATCAATAAATTTCGTACATGATACTAATTCTTCCATTTCTTTGCCTATAAATGCTTATTGCGTTTTGTATTCATTTACGTACAATAAAGAAAACTTACTTTAACCGGATAGTAATTACTACTTAAAATATTTGCTATCTATATAAGGAGTAAAACTACTTCTACTACGCTCATACAAGACAATTATTATTTCAAAGGAGCAAATATTCTCTCCTACAGTAGAGTAAAACAATAGATATTTATATTGCCATAATGGCTCCTCATGCAATTACCGAAAATTGAAAGCATTTATAAAGGCTTTAAATGTTCTTTAACATGAATGTAAAACTATTTCCAATCTTACATGAAAGTTTAAAAAGCAATAGACTTTTTCATGCTCCTGGAAAGAAAGTAGTTCATTTCGAAACAGCTTACAAAGTAATATTACCCAGAAAAATACCGTACAAGTAACGAAAACAAGAATTACATTTATTTTGAATTATTAATCCTTCCTTTCCATCATTAAAAGAATAGAAGATTAAGGTAAATTTGCACTTAAAAGTAATAACTTCAAAGATATATCTATCAGCTACCGTACATAATTCGATATTCTAATTCCGCATATATTTTGATTACGTTAAAGTTATTACATTATAATTCTACCAGTCAGTGTACGCTGTAATTATTTCTTAATAATTAGTAGCTATAAAATGTTCCTATTTCAAGTTCTACTTATATTAAACTATTATCAGGTAATGAGTTTTCGCCCTTTAACCGAACATGGCTCATATTTACCCAGCGTTTAGTGTCAAATTTAGGATTTACAATTTTCGTAATTCAACGGCTATATCATTTCTGTAAATGGTTCTTAGGGCACTTTCTAATACAGATATAGTGGCTTTAGTTGGATTTTTCTGACTCCAAATATCCAGGAATGCTTTTGTTTGATTAAATACAGAATGACCATGCTGATATATAATGGTATCTAAATTAATATCAGAATCAAGAAATGCTGCCAGTTTTGTCCAATCCAAGCCAATTTTATCACATACTATAAAGTACGCTTTCTTCATCTTCTCTTTTGCTAATCGTCAGAAGAAGTGAAAGTCATTATAAACTAATTAAAAGTTGTCATGACTTTCTGTAATACTGCCGCTGTGACTTTGTAGCACATAAACTCATGGCTATTTTAACGTTAAAAAAAGATTCTAAGGCTTTAACTGACCCAAAGTAAAAACTAATAGTCCATATAATTTACAAATTAGGCAGCTAATGAAGTGCAATAGAATGAAGGATAGCTTAAGACACTAATATAGCATTATTTTTTAAATCCATATTAGCGAATAGTAGCATAATATGTATCTTGCTGGCATACTAAACTTAATCTATTTAATTATACAGTCATTAAATCCGATAACTGGCTATGCATAAAGTTAATCTTTACTTTGGGCTAACGTTAGGCGTAACTAACATTACTTAGTATCATTGCATTCGGCTGAAAGAGCACCATGATTTACGAGCGTGCTTAGTAATAGCCTAAAAATAGTTTTAAATGTTACAAAGCTATGTAACCCAAGACTTTTAACAAAGCAAATCTCACTATGGTACGTGCAAACCCTTAATGTATGTTAATATAAAGTCGGTAATATTTAAGTGTAGAAAATTATGAATGAAACAGCAAGACTGTAGTAAGTAATAGCTATTAGTAATGAATGAAATTTGTTATCCTTTCTGTGGAATCTAATCTACCAACCTGCATCCTCATTTTCACCTCGATCAACTATGATTTCAAGCAAAGAGCAAGCAAAAATTAGTTATTAATTTAGTGCTAAATGACTATCGTATATATTTATATAAGTATTGTAATCCATTAAAACATATCTAAACTACCCGAGGGAATTAAGACTAAAAGGCAAATTTGATCAATTAATGTTTAGTCTTAAGCTTTACTCACCGACATCTTCGCTGTTACTACCTAAATGAGAACCTTCAAAATAGTCCAAAAAAAAATAGATGGTATCATTCAAGAAAGACATTAGCATAAGCTGTTACATTGAAATGACTTGATCATCTATCAATATGATCATAAAATCATAGTAATATTAGCTGATAATCTCAATTTATTTCTATGTTTTGCAGTCTAGCAATAATAGCACCATGATTTTATTATTTCGTCCCTGTTATGATATTGCTTACTCGGCTAAATTTATACCTGAAATTTCTCTGACTTCTGCTTTTAATTTTTTGCCTAAACTTTGAACGGCCGACGCTTGATATTCGATCAATGATAGATAAAACTCTTTGAAATCTTTATCGTCTCTAGTCCTAAGTATTTTTACAAATTGAAAATTTTTTTCTTTCTTTGTTTTAAAGCCACTTAAAAAATCCACTTCATGTTCGCTTAACACTTTAACAGAATGTAAATCATATACTATATCGCTTATAGGTGTCTGTGCAATAATTTGCTTCAGATTATTCTCAAGTATGTTTTGATATTCCTTAGACAACATGACCAGTGTTTACTTGATTTTTAGCCCACGCTAGTAGTCTAAAAAATGTTACCTTAAATCCGCAAAGATAATAAAACCATAAAATTATATATTTATGAGTGATTTGAATTAGTAGCAACTTTAGCAATTTCATTTAAATTTTAACTGGTGGTTTTAATCGCTGGCAAAATACATTCAATAGTCTCATAGGCCATATGCTTTTCTACTCGTAATAAATGATCAGAGCAAATTCTTGAGGCTACGATCCTAGATCAATGTTTGGAATTTAGCATGTACTGTACTATTGCTCAAATTTTGGGATACTGGACAATGAACAGTAATTCAGATTTTGCCATATCCTGTTAGGGTTAGATTGATTATTAAGGAAATACCATGCAGTATATGCTTGATTATATTTTTTCATGATTCCCCAAGTAGTCAAATGCTCCTTTTTAGACTAACTTTTTACACTTTTATATAGAGTGCTTGATTCATATAATGCCAGTTCATTTTAGACCTATATTAATATAATTCTGGTTGCTCGTATTAGATGTGCTCAATGAATAAAAGAAGCCCAGAACATAAACAGTTCGATGCTGTCGTACATTTGCTAGCAACTATACTTTCTACGTTACGATCAAACTTAATATCTTCAATCATAACTTAATTATTTACTAGCTAGAATTGATTTAGGGATCTATAATTAATGCCAAAATGTCGGCATTTCTATTTAAATTTGAAAACAATCGTAAAAATAGAATGTCAGTAAGAGCTTAATCATTTGCACCATACCTCATTGTGGTGGTGAAGAAAGTAATAATGCAGATAAGTGAAAACTGAATTTATACAACGTAAAATTCATAGATGCCTGATGTAATTAGATTAACACAGAAGTTAGATTAGATAACGTACCGATATCACCAATATTACGCTTTCGATTCAATTAAGTTATAAAAGTATTCTATTATATCATTTTATAAGGGTAGCTTCTAATTGAGAAAGCAGCAGTTAAGCCATGTTTACCTTCAGAATAATTTGTGCAATTTAGTAGTGTGTATCTGATGTAGCATTACTTCTCCATTTACGCATGCTGGTGTTTAATGCTTAACAAAGTTTGATGATTTGTTTCACCATATAAAAATACTGGCAGATACTAAAATTCTAATTTTAGGGATTATAAATCGATTTACTCTACATTAAACTTAAAACTAAATGGTAGCTAATTATGTCGGATAAAAAATAAATGTATATATAGCAATAATTAGTCGTTCATTAAATTATTGTTATGAAATATTACTTAAAATTTTTCGCTTATATCAATAAGTAGGTTTCAATTAGGAGCACTCTGATTATTCATTATCACCTCCGTACAACATATCATTGATTATCTATACGAGCACTAGCACCATTTAATCATCAATAATTCTAGTATCTCATGATTGTCAACAATCTTATGTTGAACTGCATGTTATAAAGTTACCCAGACACGCTATTACAAAAGAATCAGTTTCATCTTCCATAGGATAAAATCTCAGGTTTCAGATATTTAATCCCTCTGCTAAAATCAAGTCAAAGCTCATACAGTACAAGTAATCAATTTCAGCCTTATAGGGTGCCAATCTTACTTCGATAGTCTATTTATTAACGTAAATTTACCAGTCGCGATGACGTTTTTAAGCCTGCATTATGTCGATCTCAACTGGCTTAATATCCAAGAGTAATTGATTTCAGTTTGAAGATAAAAGTTCATTGTATCTCTTAATACGGTAATGTTGAGCTTCAAAGTGCTATAATCAACATTTAACTTCCTACTTACACGTTTGCAATCTTCGATTTCCGGCTTTACTGTGTAAGACGTAGATGCAATTTTATCTAATCGACGGTGCTTCAAACAGGATTAGGGGAGGCTTTAACTGTTTGTCGGCTGGATTTTATATCCTTCCAGGTCGGTCAGCAATCACTGTCTAATTAAGTACCATCAGAGGACTGGCCGGGATAATCTACTTGACATGCCTAGTCCAGCTTTCAGTCACGCTATCCCACCTCTAAACCATGATCAACATAGTAGACGGCAGCCGCCGCTAAGTCATGATCGCAAATGATGAATAAGATGAGTAGGGATCAGTCTATCCTATTGTGACGTCATAAAGGCCTACTGTGAAGACGGTAAATAAGCAAGATAATGACGTTAGATAAAATTAACATACTAGATAATGTTGGATGATGATAACTACGGTTTGCTATCGACAATTTTATATTGTTTGGAGGGATTAGATGATCTAAACTTGGATTGAAAGTAGTCATGCTTGCATCATTCGATCTCTCACTGTAAAGTTGATTAGATTACGTGTTCAGTTTACTGGCAAAAATGGCTACTAGTGGAGATAAAAATGAGTAGCTCAACTTAAACTTAAATTTAAACGGTCACGAGATGATCGTGTAATAGACTCTTGTTATTACTGTTCATTCACCTTCGAAACCAAAATTTGAGTTAATAAAATGTAGTAAATCTTGCATGTGACACACGAAGCTAGTCTCATACTAGAAATAATAAAAGTGTGCTGTTTAATTCTATTTGAATCATACTATTGCAATTAGCTGAAACTATGACACGTTGATACGCATCGATAAGCTGAAATTATTAGATAATGTTCGATGATGATAGCTATGACCCCTGCCTGTATATTAGATTGACTTAAAAAATGTTTTGACGATCTAAACTTGTTTTAAAATATCTGTAAGACAAACAATTTTAACCGAAAAGCAACGTGAAGGAAATTTTCATCTGTACATGATATTAACCTACATGTAACATAGTATAGCAATCTCTGATGAATGTTTGTAGCCATGTCGGGTTCGTCCTACTAAATTAGCTGCATCTTTACTGATGTAAGCAGAAGTAGGGACTTCTGGCTGCTCTGGATACAAGCTTGCATCTTTTGGTAAATTACTAACGTATTCATTAAATAAACAATTTACGTTCTATTTTAATCGAAACTAATCTCAAAAGTAATAGTACTTTACATAGTTGTAAATATGCAGGTCAGGAGATGGCAAATGTTTAAAGTAATGCTTCATACTTAACTTTTCTAGCTATATCTCATGCCACTGAAATTATTATCTTTATTGTTACCTCATTTACTCAAAAATCCGTTATTTTACAAAATCACTAGGCGTTTTGTAAAACCACTACGTAAGTCTACAAAATCGATTTTAGAATAGTTAGAAACTGCTTCCAGTTATACTCAACTAAGCAGCATTGTAGAATTAAAATATTGTATTCCAATTACACCTATCCACTCATCACCTTGGAGTAAACGGAAAATGATCAAACCTGTAAATACCGTATCTAACACTATGCTAATATGTTACAAAAATATGATAAAGTAAAATGATCTTAATCGTTTCCTCTATAAATGGTTGGATGAAACTTTCATTATTTCACATTTAAAAAAGATATCAAAATATTACGAAATGCTTTAAATCCATTTATTTAAAAGAGAGACAAGATAACAAAATTGATTGATAAAATTATTGAGAGAATATTACCAAATCTAAGCAATTTTCGAAAAAAATTCGAACATTCTTTAGGGAGTTATGTAGGGGTATAAATAAAATAATTACCATTTCAAATCATTGATATAGTATATTACATACTGGACTTTTGCAAAATGCATTCATTTATATAAATTATGTAATTTAAATATCGGCATTACTGCCGGAAGGGATGAGAACACGAGCGTTAAGCTCTAAAGGAAATAAAGCCGTCGAAATAAGAATAATAAGGAAGCTGACAAAGAAGACAGATTAAATAGGGTGGTTTAGTTTGCTGATTAATACGATCATTCTTAATAAATGAGTGAAACTTCAAATACAATTAATCAATGAAAAGGAATTAATAAATGGTCAGCATAGTCTATTTTTTTTAGAAAAAATCGACTAATAACTTTCGAAAGGAAGTAATTACTGCTATACTTGGAGGTACCAGTTCAGGTTGGCATTCAAGATTCTATAATGTTACATTATAAGAAAAAATTACATCAGTAGCTTAAACAAAATTTTGAAACTGAGTAACGTATGAAGAGCTAACAATCTTAGTTATTTATCAATCATCTTTAGGCGTTAAAAAACCATGGCCAATGATATATCGGTTGCTATTCGTTATATCTCTTAAAATTTAAACTTATAATTTATCGATTGCTGAAATTAGCAATTTGTTTAGTTAGCCAGTTATAGCATGTACCGTATCACGAGTGAGAAAATGCACCGGTGAATTTTCTATATGAAAGGAGTACGTCAAAAATCAACATGAAATCTTTACATGATAAACTTACTATGTATCCCATTTAAACCTTGAGTACTCGCCATTCTATTGTTTGTCGACTTTGAGGAAAAGAAGAATGATAGTTATAAATTAATTTTAGTGAATTATATAGTTGCATATGACAATTCATTCTGGATAACTTCAATACTTACCAACATCTGCTCCTAACTCTCCTATCACCATCGAATCATCGGAGATTACGATGGAAATAAATTAAATGAAATTAATATTTAATATTTAATAAATCATTTAAAAGTCCATTTAAAAGATTTAGCTATCATTAGTAGTCTAGATATGATCCAGTATTGTTACAGGCAATTACCTCCTTTATTTCCTTCTGCAAGGGAAAGATTGTAAAGGAATTAGCAGATATTATTAATAAATTAAGTTACTTTAAGACCTTATATCTCGTAAATTTGTTGCAATCAAATACAAAATTTACACTGTTAGAGAAAAATTTGCCATATAAACCTCAATGCTATCTTATGTAAATACTGAAGTTTGATGATGTTATCCTAACCTATAATCAGACATTTATTGCTTGAGTAGATACTGTAAACTTTTTATACAAAATAAGTATAAAGTGATTTAGCAGCAAGAATTACGTAGCAGCTTGCATCTAAAAAAATTTTAAATTTAAAATAATACTGATAGTATTATCCTACCTATATTTAGATATTTACCTAAAATGATCAGTTTAACAGCAAGAACAACTAAAGCCATGATATAACTACTGTAATTGCTCTAAAAATTTCTCAATGCAATCACCAGTTATTTTTATGTATAGTACTTCAAATGTAAGAATAAAAGCTCTACCTTGGAATAAATCTACATCAACTGAACGAGGGAGTTTTAATTTGCTACTGAAGGTGGGCTGTATAGAAAACTATTTGATTGGGATTTATTTATACTTTAATTGTACAAATTATAAGAAATGGATAGCAGAAGTTATATTTGGGTCTACGAAGCTGTAGCATGATACATTATAACGATATTGCAGCCAACTGAAAGTGGTCAATTTTGTTTGATATTCCAGATATAAGTGTCTATTTTTGAGTTACTGTATTCCATTAAACCTGCTATTGTCATAGTCTATCGCGCTCATACCGGGAAAACTTATATTATTTCCGTAGATGTCTACATCAGGTAATGTTTTTGGATTTTCTATATGGTAGACGTCAAAATATATAAGATAGAAAAAGTTTCATCATTATTGCTTGAAGCTGAATCATCAAAATCTGTGTCTAACGCTTCTAAACATCATTTTCTTATAACTACCAATATTTGCCTTACCTTCAGTGTCCAATTGCAGTTTTGCTCCGAAAGCTTTGACAACGTTGACATGGTGCTGTTTTAGCAAGCTACAGAAAGTATAGAAATCCTCATTTGAACGTTGTTCTTGTAAGATTTCCAATAGCCTTCCGTTCATATCTTCAACATGAGTTAATTTTTCTATATCGATAATATCTCTACTACTTAGAATTTTTTTAACTTTCAATTTTGTAAATAACTCTTTGATTGGAACAATTTTGATAAATTCTTCTGCGTATTTATCAAGATTAGCTTTAATAATGTCACTTAATTCCATATTTTACTTGCAATTGTAACTTCAAGACCGAAGATTTAATCTGTAAGAAAATATGTTTATAGCTATTACTTTTCTGAAATTAGTTTGCGGATATTTTCGAAATTAAATTAGATTGACGTAACTAGGCTGCTTTAAATATAAAAATATAAGTAAAGCAATATTCTCAACAAGTATTGAAACTGTTAATAGAAAATTCTATCAAAAATAGGTACGCGCACACTTTATTTTATGCAATAGACTTGAAATCTAAACGAGTAATGCGAATATTTAGTTATGAAATGAGTTACAAGACAACTTTTCTACAATTACATCTAGTTTCTCCCCATCAAAATATTCATCATATCTATAACTATATAACAAAGCTAAAGTTCATTCTGCCGAGTTTTAAGTAAAGAGATCGTTCTCACACTATCATAAACAGTCACTATAATAGTTAAAACTACATACAAGATATAATATAGCAATCTGATGTTAAGATAGAGATAAGATGAATTAGTAGAAGTATAAAAGAAATGTAGCGGAAGTAAGGTAGTTGTGAAACTTATATTCCTTTACTCTGAGTCTCTGATATTAATTTACTAGGTTATTCTGTTATAGTAATTTCATGAAAAGATTTTAAATAGTCTAATTATGTCATCTGCTATCCATTATGAACGTAAAGTATTACAGTAGCAAGCCAGGTGAAAATCTTACTTAGGAAACAACCGGATTAAATTCTTTCTTGCTGCCGAATGTCTTGTACAGTTGAAAAATAGAAACCTGCGGCTCTTCTAAAAAACCACGGCCTTTTAGTGATGTAAGCGTCTGCGTAGACTTCATTAACAATAGATTGCGGTTTCTTTATTCTAAATAAGAGAAAATAACAATAATAAAGTATATAATAAAAGGTCGATGATAAGAATTGCAAGTAGAAGTTAGTAAAGGGGATCAATACAGTACTTATAAATTATTCATGAAGGACTGGCTGATGAATTTACTTTAACCACCATTTGTCAATCATGTACAAATTTTATTGAGTTACTTGAAGATTTAATTGTAAGATAGTTAAATGTTTGTCACACACCACTAGTGACAAAGTAGTCTACACACGCCAATCCTTGCGGAGAACGCCACTTACTAACTTAAAGAGGCGAGATTAGCTATATCACCAAATAATTCAGTTCCAACGACCGAATACTATGGTATAATTATAGCGTCACAGATGATGTAGACGAGATAGTCAGAGATTTACTATCATTTATTACTGAAGGAATCTTGGCACCCAAGATTATAGTCTTTACAATTAAATATCAATTGAAAACTAGTTGACTATCTAACCGACTAACGAACTAAAAAGGAATCTTCAGGCACCAGCCTTTTATAGTCTCGTCAGAAACTCCTGGTGCACATAATATAAAAGTATCCTTTTAAACTTATAGGAATTATTATGAATATTGTCATTAAAGACTTCATATAATGTTGTAAAACTAAATTTTCAGGATCCAAAACCCTACTATAAATCAGAGTATCTGTAACACTAAAAATCGGATTATGGTTTATTACGAAAGAAACCACAACGTAACTATATAGACAACTTGCACTTGGATCTGCAATAAATCAGACCATCTGAAATTATAAAAATCGCAATAGTCTGATTTTTTGCGGATAATGAATTTTAGTTATACTAACATGCTTACACTCAAAGTTATTTTTTTTTAATTTTATAGTGATGTACCCATATTTGATTATAAGGATAGCTATATTTGATAGAGTTAGGTTACTCTGAATAGATGTTATCGTGAAGCTATCATAAGATGATTGCTAGCTACTATATTAGAAATTGTTGATGACCAATATCTGTCAGTTGACTAATTATGGTACAAGATTTAAGTGGCTAGAAAGTAGAAACACTTTAGTTGTTAAGATGCCCTTCGAAGAAATGGGCTAGTCTTTAATAGAAGAGTAGTGACATCTTAAGTAGAATGATTTAGATTGTAGAAGATAATGATGTACTATTTAAGAAAAGTATTTTGTTTGATGACTCATGTCTGATTGTAGACTAATCAAGTTGTCATAATTGGATTTAACGAAATGTATATGTTATATATAAGAAGTGTAGAGATGAGCTCACGATGAGAAGAAACTTCACTTCGCTATAAGCTCGGAATATTGCAGACTTTAGACTTAGATTCTTGTAGTTATTGTTGCTCTACTAGTCCTAAAATCTTGTAATAAGTGCCTTTTAGAAATACGATTTGACTAAGAAAGTTTTTGGAAGGCACTTTTATTACAAAGTTGTAGATACAGTTACAGTATTTTTAGAATTAAAGTTTAATTTTGTTTTACAATTTCAGATAGTCCAATTTGCTGAGGATTCTAAGTATAAAATTTAGATACAGCTGCAACGTGCTTTTATAATTTAAGATACAATTTATTTTAGATCTATGCATAAGATGCTGATATAGTTGTATCTGGATTAGAAAAACAGATTTAGCTTTACTACAATAAAAACCAAACTATAACCGTATTTACAACTTACGTATACTTAGAATCCCCAATAAATTAGACTATTTAAATTTATAGTGTATGTAAGCTTTATTACAATGGAAACTACGCTATATCTACAACAATTGACCAGCAAGAAAACAACCGATCTACTCGATTTGTGTACTTATAAACTCTGGCGCATTGCCTATTAAGTAGCTATAGTAACAAAATGATTATACACTTAATATACCTATAAACGCTTCTATTCTCTAAGCACGAGTATTTATTTATCATATCTTATCGAAACACGGGAAACTAATCATGCTAAATTATGATTGTCATTAACAAGAATTTAACATAAATGCTAAACTCACGGTACTACAAATAAATTTCTAGTTTCAAGCTAACATCGTCGTTTTCAACTTTCCAATGAAATATAACCAACTTACTGGCATAGAACAGAGTTTATTAATGGCCTGAAACATCATCGATATCCAGCACTCTAAAGAACCTATAGTAGGTACAATAATTTTCTAAATGAGGTTATTGATGATTTGTATTTTAATCCAAGCATGTGTAAATTTCTGGTTTTAAGTTGAAATTATCGATTTCAATATCATACAAGTACCATCTGTTCTACTCCGGTGGCTTATAAAATAAATAAATCGATTGATGGCTTGAATTTTCTTCGTCATTCAATCACTTTGAATAACTAGTAGTGTTGGTAATAGTTAAATATACAGATGAGCTCATTAAAGATTTGAATTTAGCTCAGATAAATGCCAACTTCATCTTTCACTAAACCATTATAATAATTATCAACCTCAATTTAAAAAACTGAGCTACTCCTTGCGGTTACTTTTTTATGGCTGTCTATTTTTAAGCAACTCATTCAGTATCTAATTTTTGAATAAAAATATCCATATTCTTTTGCTTGAAAAAAGTTGTGGCTAAGCTTTATAGTTACATTTTTAAAGATATATTCATCCATTTCTATTTAAAAAGAAGTCTAATGTTGTACTTTTGTGCTAGTATTTTACCTACTAAATCTTATTTCCTCTGGATAGTAAGTGCTACTTGTAATACTTAAGAATTTTAAGAACTATTCTAATGCCTGCATTTTGGTGCAAACAAACGTTAGTTCACTTTGGTTACGTGTTTCAGGAACGCTTTTAATGCTTGGGATTAGAAATATTAATTTGAGATGAACGTTAAATCTATGATTCTGTGGGTAAACATTGAATTTTAGCTTTTCGATAATTCAGGATCTATGCAACTTACTATGCTGTGTATTTGAAGAAATTTATTACTGAGTTTAATTCAAATGAAAGCGAAATGTTAGATTAGATATGCTCTTGTCAACATTTGATCCGTCTAAGGATAAAGCTGATTATGGAGCTTAAATTTTTATGTTTGAATTCTTAGTACTTCAGTTTTATCTGCAAGAAAGCTCCATTTCAATTCTTGTGCAATGTATCTTGATATAACTTTTTAATTTAATCACGAAAATTTCTAGCTAAAGCGAGATATATCAAGCCCTAATACCTTAATCCTTGCTATTATATTTACGAGACTGCATCTATGATGTTGAAATAAACCAGTAGGTAGCTTGCCAGTTTACATGTAGGGACTCAATGGAATAAAGTTCTAAAATATTTTCGTATACCTTAGCAAGCAGTTAAAATTAAACATTACCGGTCGAAAATGTTGGTATGTAAATTTTATGTATGCTTGAATGATTATCCCAACTAGTAACAGTAATAAGAAAATGTTATTCCATGGACTAATATTGACTATTTTCTATTTGTATCTTTATTAATATTTTATTAAGTGAAAAAAGCTCCAAATTTTAAAGTCAAATTGTAGCAATCCTTCTGAAATTATTTATTAAGATGCCTGTAAATATACAAATTGCAAAATATAATGGAGTAAAAAAATCAAGATGTATCATAATTCACATATTTAAATAATTATGTATGAACATGTTAACCTACAGTTGGATAGACAACGGATAAGGCTGAAAACTAAACCTGATAGCACCAACGATTTAGATAGACTACGGCAACATGAATAGATTTCTGCAATACTGTTACAGTGTTAAATACTATATTACAGTAGAAATAACTATGTTAGGATAATTCTGTTAGACTATCCTTATTTAGTTAACTTCTAATTTGGATATACTGTGTTTTAATATAGCACTGACTTTTTATGACAGTGACACTTATACACATACTGAAATTAATAGTTATAATAGGGAATGCAAATCATCTGCTTACAGTTCCAATCATTGTGATTGTAATTTACTTATGGTAGACTGTAAGTTATCATGGAAATGTTCCGTGATAGGACATATCGTAATCTGACTATTCTGTATTAGTTATTACATGTCTATGTTGGTAAATACTGTTGTCTGCATTAAGGGAGCAGTAGCTAAAATTAATATCTAATTCAGTAAATGATTCTAATGTTAATTGTATTAACTATGACTCATGAACTATTGAGGAATAGTATATAAATGCAGTATATCGTGAAATAAAGATGAATTGTCCAACTTAGTGTTTAACGTAAAATACGAGGCGTTTAAGTCTTTGTGTAGTCTGCTAGTAGAGCAAAAGTGTTTGTGATAGTGCAGATATCGTTCCTTGATACGTGGTTCAAGGAATTGACTTATTGATCGTAGATTAGGTTATCTTGTTGCAAAGCTGTTTTGTGACAAATACCTAACAAGATAGTTGATGAATCTGACTCTTGCAATTCACTAAAAAGTAAAGAACAATATAGGTTTGCATTAACGGTAATCGTTTCATTAGAGTTACTTATTATGATTACCAAAAAAATTGGTACAAGATCATAACTGAAATGACTTAGTAAATCTAAGTTAGATTTCACTTCTGAAATGGTAGTTTCCTTTCTCAGTTATTACAATTTAAAAAATCCATAAATCTTACATCAACAAATTGACGAGGCTTCATATTTTAAGGTATTTATGAATCATACATAAGAGTGACAATCTCTTTCCTTTCGATTTCAAAGAGGGCTTGCACTAGACGGGTTGTAGTAGCCTCAATACTTTCCATATTATGCCATTTCTTCAACATAGTTCTTGCCTGATCATACACTAATCTTTTTTCCTCTATTATGATATCAGTGTTAATTTTGTAATTTAGCTTTAAAGCTAGCTTAGTCCAATCAGTACCAATGTGATCCGCAACGATGAAAAAATAGTTTCTAACGTCAGTTGAAAGTTCTATTATGAAATAAAAAGTTTTGTTCCTTGTTTAATTTGAAGTATTCTAGATAGTAACCTTAATTATTAATATAGCTAACGAACTGATACTTATTTACTATTTCAACATTTATTTTTAGAAATACACCGTATGTGTTAAGACTTATAAGACGTTATGATGCATCCAATATCTCTAAAATGGGTATTGCAAAAATCTATGCCTATTACTGAACACTTCATTAGCTATATATATAGATCAGATATTATAAATAGTGTCTAATTGCGATAGTACCATTTTGTGAAGGATGTAAGATTAACTGTATTTCAAGAGTGATAATAGTTGTTAATAGATTGTTAACATTTTACTTCAAACTGTCCTTATTCAGTTATACTTTGTACGTCCTAATTGAAACCTTTTTCCTTATCCGTAGTCGTTTTATTTGATTCAAAATTATTTAAAGCAAATAAAAGTAATTGTATGTTTAATGTATCTTTAAGTAATTTAGTCCATAAATACAGTCTAACGTTTTGATGTGTAGTAAAAGATATGCATCTCTAATCGGTGAAAATAATTAACTTAGCAAAATTGCGGAAGCGATCAATAACATTTTTTAAATCATTGCTGTTACTTTATAACAACTTTACAATGTAATCATCCTTTGTTAAATACTGTCCAAAGCGCTGGGCTAAGTCTTATTCTTAGTTATTAAGTTAATAAGTCGTAAAATAAGAATATAGTTCACCTTTTACGTGAGCTTTGTTCGTAGTTTCATGATCCTGACAGTCGCTATCTTGTGATGTATTCTCATCGGGTGGTTTAGAATTGGCAGATTGAAAACCTTCATGATCTATGGTAGTTGTGGGATTTTTTTGCATTAATAGTTGATTTACGGGCAGATCTTCTACCGTTTGCTGAATGATGAATTGATTTTGCTTCATGTTGGAAATGTCATATTGGATACAATCTAACTGCCGCTTTATGTCTTTTTGACATTTCAATGATTTATCTTGACTCATTTTTATCTCATCGGCCTTTTGAAGAAAAGCATTACTCTCTTGAAGAAGAGCGTTAATCGACTTCCAATAGCGTTGATCATTTGAGTTAGTTGAAATGAATTCTTCATCAGTGATCATGTTCTGAAACTTTGTAATCATCTTTTCCATATCGCTAAATCTCCTTTCATCTAAGCATTGATTAATCAAATCCTTAAACTGATCCATTTGATCTTTAATTAAGTTTGAAATATTCTCTGTTAGTAATCTCGTGATTGTGCTTATTTGATCATCATTGATCGTAGCAGAGACTTCTTCTTTATCTTTCAGCAGAGCCGCATTTAAAACTTGTTGAGCGTAACTAATAAAGAATTCTCTATCGAGATTCCCGCTTAATTTGCTTTGATAATTGAACAGCATTTGGGGGCTGCTCATAATTTGCTGAGTAATATCGTTGAGGCCACAAATAAAGTCTCTACTGTTGCCATCATGGAAGAATGATAATTGTCGGAAGCCATAATGATCAGTTTTCTCATAACGTTTCAGGTCGTAATACTTGAAAGAATTATCTACCTCTATTCTAATCCCAGTATTCAAAACTAAGTCGGACGAATAAATTTTTGAAAGTTCTTCGTTTTCCTTCAAGGCGATTTTTAATTTACTTCCTTTCTTTCCTTTGTACCTACAACTGGATTATAATTCGAATAAACATTTAGTGTAGCATCGCCAAATTATTGTCATTAAACAAGCCTGTTAGAAAACTTATTATTGTCAGCATGCTGTGTACAAGTAAATTAGATACCACTTAAAAATTATGTCTGATTGAGGGCTGTAGATAATAATAGGTAGAGATAACTTTATAATAAATCAAGTATATTGATTCAGCTTCGAAGAATGTAATACCAATGATACATATTCATTCTCATTCTCAATTATATAAGTGTTGAGACTCGTTGTTTGCAATCAGTATGTTGTAAACAAGTCAGATAAGGTGTTAAACCTGCTATATTTTTCTGTGGTGACTGCTCTTAGTCCTTCTTTCTTATCATCTACTTTTGCAAGTTGTTTTCCTTGTCTGTCAGAGTTTGTTGTACTAATGCATAGTATATCTCAATCATTGAAGAATCATTTTAAAATTTATAATTGTAAAATTCTTCGTGTGATTTTCTCTCTGGGTAAAGTAAGTAGACATAATTTGTTACAATACAGCTAGCTTATAATTAGGCTATTACCGTAGGCATGTATTATTCATTACTGACGAAATCCTTTTTGATAATGGTAGCTTTCGAAACCTAATATCTATCCACAACCCATTTAAATCCTATCTTTTGTAAGTAATCAATTAGTGAAATATTGATTTCGGTATAAGATCTGGCACTATTAAAAGATTGTGGGAACTTTCTAAGAGCATTTTTTCTAGTTAAAATGCTCTTCTAATAACTATTTCCGTTCTGACAGAATTGGTTCTAGTTTGCCTTTAATCTACAGATAACTTGTTCACCAACGCGTGAGATCTGCTTAGCCATAAAATTTGTTAGTTTCCTTCATTCCACTATAACTTAATTAATAAAGTAATTTTACACTTATACTCTGATATCTTCACATATTTAAATGTAGTTAAATATTGATTTCAACATAAGACACTATTAAAAATTTATAAGCGTACTATAAAAAGTATCTTCTCTAATTATTTACTTGAATAATTACAGGATAATGATACGAGATTGACCAACGAAAAATTTTAATTTAATTTTAATTAACCTGTGCTTTATGACAAAATTTGGTTCAATAATGCATTTGCTGATAAATTTGGCAAAACTAAGTGGTTCTTTCGGTGGTTTATCTTTCTGCTCTATAATATAAGCGATGATGGCTTCGATCATATCTTCAGCCAGTTTCTTAATATAGTGATTATCGTATGCGTCAGAAATGATAGATATTTGTTGCTCGTAGATTCTGACGAGATCGCAAGCTATCATCGATATAGCCAATTCAACGCGATCATTGTTGGGAGTTAGATGATCAATGATTTTCTTAATTGACCTACGATCATATCTTTCGGCAATTTCTGAAATTAAAGTTTGTATTAATGACATTCCTTGAACTAAATTAAACGGACCATCTGTAGGGACAAATTGTAAGCACGATAGGATACCAGTCAAAAATTGTGTTGCAGTATTTGCAATCATCCCAGGCTTTAACTTAATTTCTTTTTCCAGGACTTGAGATAAAACTTTTAATTTGATGGTAAACTTCTGAATAAAAGTGATTAAAAATTGTTTAATCTTTGGTCCGTTTTTGAATTGACTGATATTATCAAAGTCTTCTGGCCATTCTTTCTTCTCTTGCATATTTGCCATGTTAATATTGAAGAGCCTTGACTACGCGCAAATTAGAATCAAAATATTTTAAATCTCAGTATCGAGTGTTTATTGCACCATTTCAGATTGACTTGAGACCAATTTCTCTTTAATCAATATTCTACATCCTTTCTCAGCAAATATTAAAGTAATCCAGTTTGTTGCTTATTTGAGAACCGATTTTATATCATGTCCAGCAAGATCCGTACGATACTGCTATCTTGAAGGTCTATTAACGATGGCATTTTCTTTTCCACATGTTTTGCTATCTTGAAGTTTGATATTAAAGATGACCAGAAAAATATTTCTCCTTATTTTAAAAAAACACTGCTTTTCCGATTCTTTGTAAGCTTAAATCTTTTAATAAGTTCGAGTTTTAATATAAAGGTAACATTTTAAAGAATTAAAATAGTAGATGAGAAAACTCTAGCGCACAGCACAGGTTTTAAGTTATAATAAGCGATGTAATACTATCAGAGAACCGTTGCAAGAAAGCCCTAGCTTACAATTAGGGAAGTGAATTACTTTCGAGTTGACCTTTAGAATAGCCCCAAAAATGATTTGGAATGCACATATTTATTTAATGAACAAAATCCATATCAATTATCATAATTTTTAATGAACTATGCAAATATTGCTATATTTAATATGATAACATTGATATCGAGAAATAACCAATCATTTTATAGCTGTATTTTAATCATTTTGATTTACTGTAAATCCGTGGTAATAAAATGCGAGTCATTTATTTTCAATAGCTGTTGAAAGACGAATTGTTGATAACGTGGACTGGAGTTAGTAATTTATGTCAGATCAAAGCAATTAAAGTCTGTCGTTCCTCGAAAAGAGGATACATACTTCGAAAATTATGTTGTACTGTAAAAAGATAATCATTTTGTAAAATATTTGAAATTTGAATGAGCTCATAAGCCAGCTGCTCTATAAAAAATAAATATAGCTAAAGCTAAGACTGTAAGGTTGTCTAAATACGTGTTTGTGGAAGATAATTACAGAACGTATTATAGCAATTCCGTTGATATATTGTGTCATCATGCAAGGACATAAATAGATTGCACAAGAATATATGCTATGAGATTTATATTGTGTCAGTCTAATTAGAAGCACGAATTATGAACGAATTTTCCCCGTAAATTTAACTTTATCAGGCGACCTTATTGGCAAGATATGTTTATGCTCCTGATAATAATTTTGTAACAAAATGTATAATAATTATGTCGTTTGTAAGTTACGCAGTTGTAAACTGAAAAGAGCACTTGGTAGTTGTATAACAAATTTAATTCACGTACTCAAGCAAAGTTTACAAGAAATAAGTTCTCGTGTATTATTTTGTAGACACATTATCACAAAAGCCTATGTAACATCTTACAAATTTTTAACATATCGCTCGATTGGCTGGCTTTTAATTAAGACGGAGTCAGGCTCTTTAATTAAATTAAAATATGTAAATTTATTAGAATAAAAACAAGTTATAGTTGTTTATTGAAATTTAAGGTTCGTCAAGTTGGAGCAGAGTACTTAACTAACGTTGATATTGTTATGATACATTATGCTCGTAGTAAATCTAGGTTAATGCTATTTCTTACTCTGTAATGATAGCATCAGTTTACTGTGCTGTAGAATTTTGCACTGTAAAATTTGCATTCTACTCTGCTGTAGAATTCTACACTGTAAAGTTGTCCCTATTGTGCCACCGTAGGTGAACTTATAAAATTCTTATACAACGGACTTGATGTAGATGGTACCCAATTTGGAAGGTTACTAATCTTTTATTCTGACTTTATTTCTGCATTTTAATTTCAAATTATTCTCTCTTAATGATCAAACGTAAGGCAGTACTTATATTATATCAAAATAAGTGAAAAAATATGCTAGTGAAAAAATTTAATGGTACTGCAGTTTTTAATGCTATAGCTGTAGTAGTTTCAATAGCTCGATTTCAACGCTTGCATACAACTTGATAAAGCAGTATAATTGAGATAATTTTAGAGGCAAATTTAGAGATAAAAATCTCTGAAGGCCATTTAGTCTTTGGAACATAACTTCACGAATAATCGACAGCCATTAAATCAATATTGCTCATATTTTACTTAGAAAACCATCATTCTTTACTCACTGTACATAATATTCAAAATCACTTCTATAATCATAGCCGTTCGGTTTGATACAGCTGTATTAATACTGATTTTATTAATAAAATCAAAGTAAGGCCTAGTGATTCAAATTCTATTAAATAATTATATATGGCTTTCGCGGCATTTATAAACCGAACAATCTTAGTTGGAGACTGATTTTAATGAGCATCATAAAATAAATGAAATGACAAAATCTACTTCTTTTACGCGATACTCTATCAACTATCAATATAAATTAGTACTTTCAATTAAAGTGCAAGTCAAGTTAGTAATAGATACTCAGGATACTGAATTGAAATTTACAATATCTAAAATCACTAGTGTTACAATAGACATTATCATTGCTAGTAGTAGCCACTCTTTACTTTTCTTCTATGATTGGTTAGACGGAATATATATGCAGACAGATCTATAAAGTTTTTTACGTTTTATCGGTAGATATTATTCCGATCCAAAAATTTATTTCCATTAGTCTAAATCTCTTGCTCAAATTCCACTTACCCTCCCTTGAAATGAGCAGCGCGGGGGTATTTATACTACTGTTAAATGACTCTGATTATGGGTTCATTTCAATAGGTCAGTATAAGATTCTTACAGTACTTTTTACCTCAAGATTTCTTCATGTGAAACGAATAGCTCTAACGTAGTCATTTCTGCAGAGTACTGATCATTAAAATAGTATTCGTTTATATCGGTAAGGGTGGCCACTGGGCCTTTCAATTTTGATTTTATGTAATATTCTGATGAAAATTGAATAAACATAGAATCTTTATAGAGTTTTCTACACAGCCATTTTGATTGTTGAATTTTCTTATAACAGTTGCTATCGACAGAGCAAGCTTTGCTTGCATACTCAAGCAATCCTTAGACACATTATCATGATTGGTATAGAATTAACCACTGTACTATGGACATTGTACCGCACTGTCGATATCTTACAGTACCTGCTAATCTTAACTTGGCATGGCCATCACCATACATTAGTTATCATCATGTGCTTTGGATTATTAACTAATCTTAATATAGCATTTCATCCGTGAATGCATTCTTGAAAAGTAGTATTCTACAAGCTTAGCTGTGAATATAGTAGTGCCTGGCTATTACCGGGATATAAATAATGTCGAACGGTAATACTATCTGTTAATTATTAACAAATGAGTACATTATCGTAAACCTTCAGCAAAGCGACGTGAATTGTACTAGTATAAATTAAACCTAGCCTGAAGAACTAATGTTGGCCGAATTAGCCTAACCATTACAAATGATTCTTTACTAGCACATTTTGCATACGTAACCGCGTGTTGCAAATAGTCGATTGCATGACATACAACTACTTCGTTGATAAGACGCTAAATGTCTCAAAGTCTAACATAGATACATAGGCGTCTATCCTAATAATCTGCCTATCTCATGATATTTTGTAACGAAACTAAGTATTGTGAAAATAGACTTTTAGTCACGTTAGTGAGATGTACGGAAGCATAACTTTCTATATCCATCTTAAGACGTATTTGGTAGCATGGACGGTAATGGTAGATTCTATGCTATAGTACAGCTGACTATATATAGTAAGGTTTTGAGTTACTATTAAGGTTAGAGGTAAAAATAAAACTGTAATTCATATATTAGAATATGCTTAGTTTACCTTACTTTGGCTGCTAAGAATAATATTCAGGGCAATACTGTAGTTGTTTCCACATCGGGTTAATGATGATCTGCTGTAACTTCAACTTCTAGATTGTAATTCAAGCCTATACAAAGCTTTAATTTCCTCAGATGACTATCGATTTTCGCCCTTTCGAGGAACTTGTGCCAAATTAGCTATAGCATTATTTAATACATAACTTTATTAATGAATCTACTATACAAATGAATCTCAATTCTAGGGATTACTAAGCCTTAGCTTAGAAAAGTGAATTAACGTCACAATCCACATTTTACTTTTTAAAAATTCGTATAAGCTGTTATGGTAAATTGATCCACTTAATAACGTAATCATGGCCCTTTTACGCATAACGGAGGTCGGAACAACCTTAACTTAAACAGAATTAAATGGCCAAAAAGCTTGAAATACCCTAGGATATTAATTTTTATAAACCGTGTCGTAGAATTTAAAGTCGCTTTACTGAATTCTACCGAACAAAATCGTCATTTTGGATTAATGATATTTATGACTCGAAAAAATCCTTGTTTGGCTCTTTCTTAAACTGTAAATTCTTACGTTGCAATATTTTACATTATTTGATTTATTTGTACTTAGCCAACTCATGCTAGAAATCATCCAAATCTAAATCTTTGAAAGAGATGGTTGGTGATATACGAGAAGTATCATGTTTATAAGAAATAATATTAGCCAATCTATTGGAAATCTGAATCTTATACGATTAATATTAGTAAATATGATAATTCAAACCAATTATACTGGCTACATTTTAATACATCTAATAAGTAATATAATACTTGATTTTGTATACAATGGTCTTATAAGTATTTGACGACTGTCCTAAGTTACCCTGAGTTACCAGCTTAGAGTTGCAATATGATATGATTAGGTATTTGTAATGTAACTAGTATTGTTATTGTAGACTGCTAGTCATGTTTAGTATAATGTACGGTAGATATTATCCTAAGATATATTTGGTAGCTAGAACTATAGACTGTAGTGGTAGAGACTCTATGCTAGAGTACAGATGACTATATACAGTAAGCTGTTGAGTTACTAATATAGCTATAGGTAAAAATAGAACTGTAAATCATATATTAGGATATGGTTAATTCATTATACTTTGGCTGGTGTGAATAATATCTACGTAAGTACTGTAGTCGTATCCATATTGGATTAATGATGGTCCGCAGTAGAATAATCTTACTAAGAATAATTTAACTAAGTGTAAAATAAGGTAAAAGGTGCCATGCGGATTGTAGCTGCGAATGCTACGAAAAGTATAAAAGCATGCAACTTTAGATTATTCTGTTAGTTCGTTCTAGAAGTCTTTAGTAGTAGTAATCGGCTAGAGTAGAGCTGTGTGTAGTTAATCTTTGTATAAGATTCAATAAAGTCCTTATTTTTCTAAATTTTGGAATTTCGTGATTGGGATATATCACAGTATTAAACTATATTTTATATCCATTCCAAATATCAACAATACAATTATGAGTAGATTCATTTTATTACTACAGCAGAACAGAACCAAAGGATAATATTTGTCACTCAACCAATATAAGAACGATAGCTAGAGTATTCTTCAAGGATTTTAAGGTAGTATTATCAAATATTTGTATGGGATAAACATAAACCATTAGCGCATTAAAACTTAAAATATATTATAATTTAGAAGTCTTAAAATTATTTTAGTGATAGTGTTATTTAATCATTACAATTTAGAAAATAAAAAATTGCAATCAAGTTCGAACTAAGGGGTAATCCTTAAAAATTAATTTACAGCCAAAAATTAAAAGTAATACGAAAATAACTAAATTTGTTTCTTGAATGTCGTCATTTTATTTTGCTCAAGCTATTTCCCGTCTGAGTAGATCTTGCTTGCAAAACTTGACGTATTGAATGATCTAATCGATTTATTACTTCGATAAAACCAATTAGAAATACTCCCGGATACAGAGTTCCTTTGATTTTATCAGTTTCTATTCGCTGATTGATTGTCCTTGGTTCCATTATTTGCCCCGAAAGAGAAATTTTCATTGATAATTTACCTAAACTAATGAATAACATTTAAGAATATTTAAATCTACCAAGATGATTCTGTTGGTGTACTAAAAATCAATATAATGTCAAATTTTTATTCTTAATTTACAAAAATCTACTAGCACTTAAGTGGCCGTAACTTTCTTCAAAGTATGAAACTCAACTATTGCATTACAAGGAAGCGAATGTAAGGAAGGTAATTAGAAAACTAGAAAATAAATTACTTAACACTCACGAAATCTTTCACAATATCTTTCCTGTCAATTGCAATAAGCACTTTTACTAAAGCTTCAGTGGTTGCTTCATTACCGGACATGTTATACCATTTGCTCAAGACCGCTTTTGCTCGATTGAAAACCACACTTTGCTCCTCTGCAATAACACCTACATCTATATTTTCGTTAAGCTTGCCCGCTAATCTAGTCCAGTCATTACCAATTTTGTCGGCGACAGTGTAAAAGTAGCCCTTCACATTAGCTAAAATTTCCATGAAATCATTTTGAAATAAGATTGGGTAAGATTAATTTCAATTAGATACTTTAGCGGTATTTCTAGAAGCAAGATTGAACAAATGTAGCTATCCCTTAAACTTGTCTAATTATATTATCAATCCTTATATGTCTTGAATTTGCATGATTTCAGTGATAGAAGCTTAATACAGTAATTAATATTAAACATCGATACCAAAATCACTCAGATGTACTTGTTATCGTAATCTAACCTGACAATGTTGATTCTACTTCCATCGGTGAGTCAACTGTATGAATAGAGATCATATTAAATTTAGATCACTTACTTGGAATTCATGTATGAACTGAACATTTTACGTTGTATATTGCTTAAATTTATAGTAGCGCTATAACTTAATTTCCTTGAAAGAAATACTAACCAACATCTTGTCCATTAGGATCTATGATTAGTGAGATCGTTGATAGATTTTAATCCATATTTAACAAATCAGATCAGTATTAATAAATAGCTCATAGTATTTCTTTAGTAATTAGTATAATCTAGTATTATCAGGGCTACAATAATCATTATACTTTCTATCAGTAGCTATCTCTAATATTACTTCCTTGCTTGCAAACAAGAAGGACAAGCTAGATTCAATAAATTAACTTACTTGTTCGGTGATCTTTCCGTACTAGCTTGATAGGCGTTCCTGCAATTATGAAATCAATTAGTTTAGGTATAGACCACTAATATATAAAATTGGCAATTCTAGTAATAAATATAGATCAATTTAATTAGGAAGGGTTAGAGTTCACTTATCAATATAGCACTATTATATTATTCATGCAATAATATTCACTTCAATTGAAAGATTGTTTACCTTTAGCATCATCCTGTAGTTTAGCACCGAAAGATTTCACAACATTAACACCATTGCTTTTAAGTAAGTCACAAAACGTATAAAAATCCTCTTCTGCACGTTCTTCCATTAAGATTTCTAATAGCCTTCCATTCATATCTTCTGTGTGGGTTAAAGCTTTGATATCCGTCACTTGTCTTGTACTCAATATCTTTTTCATTTTGAGCCTAGTAAACAATTCTTGGATAGGAACAATTTTAAGGAATTGATCACTATTTTTATCCAATGCAGCCTGAATGTCTGGATTGTCCATGCTGGATCTATAACGATTACGTTTACTCCACGAAATTTTATCTGAGGTGAATGAAATAGAATTATTAACCACGATCAATATCAGTATGTCGAAAGCAAGATAAAGTTCTACATCTTTTCACTTTATTTTAAACGATAGAATCTTGACTTACTTAACTATTATTCGTTTCATTAGAGAATATGATCAGATAAACTAGGGTTAACTAAGTTGCTAACGCCATTCTTATTTTGTTTTGTGCAACAGGTTAATGATTCACTGCGATGCTTATGATGATGCCTAACATTGATTTTTATTTTAAATCATTGAATCTTTATTTAATAAATGACTATTTGTTACTTTGAAATAATTTGATTCGATAAATTAGGGTATGATAAGTTACTAATGCTGTTGTTACTTCTCCTTGTACAACAGATTAATTTTTCGCTTCGATGCTTATTGGGCACTTACTTTACTTTAAACCACTGAATCTTTATTTATTAACTTAAACAATTGCATATTGCAATGAGAAGGTTACTCGATAAATTACGGTACTATAAGTTACTGATGAAGTTCTTGTATCTTTTTACGTTATTGCAAATCAATGAATCTTGATTTAATTAACGGCCATCCCCACTATTACGAATGTGATTAGATAAACTAAGGTAAACTCTGCTGTTAATGTAGTTCTTACTTCTCTTTGCAATATAGATTGATGGTTCATTTCAATGCCTAAAACGATAGCCATTATCATACTCATCGTAGTTAAACGTTGACTAAACATGCAGAAGATTAGCTTGAATATTTCCTAAAGGTTCATCATGCATCTTTCATAACTAGAATGATCATCGAGTAACGAAAAATATAATTTTGATCGAAATGCTTGCACTGCATTCAAGCAATAATCCAACCGAAAGTAAGCATAAAATTAGATCACTTCCAAAATTAGTTTACTAGCCCACCGAACCGCTAAAAAGGCATGACCATTTATGAAAGCCTTTCTAGCCCAACGAGAACATCTTTGGTGATTGATTAGGATGAGTTCATGTTAGAAACAAGAAATAAAATCGCAATTCTGAATGATACTTACTGAATGCAAATCTCGATATCTCTTCCGGTTTGGCAACAAGATCAATGTGCGTCTTGCATCCACTGCTATTTTTAATGGAGTTTGCGTAGTCTTTATTAACGATGGCTTCCAGAGGCCTTTTTGACGCGATAAAATGTCCTCTCTACTCTTTTTATAGCTAGTTACTACCTGTATGAAGCAATAGAGTAATGGAAACAAATGATTATTGAATAGAGATGAAGGAGGATCTGCTCATAAATTATTCATGAAGGATTGACATAAGCAAGGGTGGTATAAACTTTCTATAGATTATTGATTCGCTGGACTAAAAAAAAGTTCAGGTAGATCTTTATTCAAAGGCTAAGCAAAGAATTTCTTAGATACTTCACCTATCAATGCTAAAATTCTGGTGGATTCGATGATATTGCCTTCGAATGTGTAATATTGAAAACTGAATTTTGTAATGCTTATAACTACAGTAGATCTTAAAAGGCATGCTTATTCAAATATTATAATTTATGTACTGAAAATGCTCGTTCGCACTTTGCTAATTAAAATTTGAGCAAAGCATTTATGAAATTCGATCAGAACTCTTCCGTTACCTCTCATCTGCTATCTGAGAATCTGTTGTAACTGAGTTAGGCTCGGTAATTATTTCTTCTTAACATTTATCTAGAAAAAGCTAGTTTCATTCAATGAATAAACAGCCGTCACTAAACTATTTATTCCTTCTATTCCATAATTATGCTGCATAATAATTCTTACAGTTTCCCGTATAATAACAGTTTGGTCTAATAGTAATATTTAAAGTACTCAATCTTAATAATCAATAAGTTTTTAAGCTAAGATTGTCTATCTTAAAATATCCCACTTCTGTTAAAATGGTAATTTAGCATGGACAGTATCTTTACGATCCTTGAATGTTATGGAATAAATTCAAGTTAACCGAATAATTTACGGATAATCAAATAAAGAAATAGCTCTGGTTTGACTATGAAGTCTCTCTATTTTTTAAAAGTTAAAATTTAAATTTATAAGTGTGACAATATATATATATTGTACGTTGTCGTAGGCAATATAATATATATTATCGGCATCGTAAGCTAACAAACTGAGGGGTACGAAAGTACAACAGAAGTATTACACAACTATTCTATTTGATGTTATTCCCATAAAATAATTGTCTCAGGTAGAGAGAATTTTTTAATGGCTTTTTTAGTAGAGTTTAAAAATATTAAAGCCATAATCAATTAGAAGAAAAATCTAGTTTAAAGAATCCTGAGCTCAGAAAAAGTAAAGCCTGGTCTCCAAGTACATCTTTGCAGTCTTAAATCCATGTTGTTAAATCTATTTGCGGAAAAAAGTTACCTACAATCAGACTTGAGCTATCAAACATAGGACGTCTCCTCAAACGGATGATCAATCTGTTTCATAGTGTGAATCAACTAGCTTAAAATATCATTTACTCTTCTATTAATGTACAACACTATAAAGGTACAGGGCATCTTCGCCGTGACAGTACATTAATTTATATCGATTTATTTACCATACTTAGAGAACTGGTTAATGTTGGTAATTAACAAGTTCTAATGCAGTAATTAAAAATTAGTTAATATTAGCATCACGATAATATCTATTTTTAGAAATCTAATATTATCAAATGTAACTATTAATAATGCAATCAAATATGGAATGTATTACTATAGAAAGTTTTGAGACAAAGTCTTCTAAGTGTTAGGTTAGTGGTGTGTGATAGCTACATCTAAATTAATTAGTTTGTTTGATATAGTGCGCTTTATTATACTGTCACCAACTTTTATGAAAAGATCATGGACGCGACCTTTGTTAACGACATATTTTATGATTAAAAGAATTATAGCAGGGGAAGAAGTCAGAGTTATCTAAGTGCCTTGCTACTGTAGAAAAGGACTAAAAGTAGAGTCCTTTATACCTTTAAAATGTAACTAGTATTATTTTACTGTAGAAAATACCTAGACAGTGATAGTGTCCTTAAGTTTTACCCTGCCAAATCATCATGTCGCCATCTTTTCTTCTTCATTATTTTACAATAGATTACTATAGTAATAGCCCAAAGTAATCGCCTAATCTAAAGTAAGGGCATTTGATAGCCTATTCAAATTGTAAATGAATTTGACATAGTAACAAAACCCCATCCACAGAGAAAGGGGATTAATAACATGACGGTAAAGTACTGTAATAATGTAGTCTATAATCGTACAGTTACCGTACAACTTGACGTTAAAACATCAACTGTTAATTCTAAGCGATACTAATGTCAGAAAAGTAGTCGTAGCAGTCACATAAAATTTCTTGATAAGCGATTACTATGATCTGTATCATGTCCGGATTTTTGGGATTCGGATTCCGGAACCGGTCGGATTTATGTCCGATATAATTTTTCTGTATTAATTTATCTGTTATAATTTTTCTGTATTAATTTATCTGTTTTAATTTTTTGTTTTAATTTTAGGATTTAGTTTACAGAATCCGAAAACTATATCGGACACAAATCCGGAAAAATTCGCTTTTTATGAAGATCACAGTAATCGCTTATCAAAAAAAATTTATATGACTACTACGACTACTTTTCTGACATTAATATCGCTTAGTATTCGCGAGTATTGACAGTTGATGTTTTAGCGTCAGATTGTACTGTAACTGTACGAGTATAGACTACATTACAGTACTTTATCGTCATGTTATAAATCCCCTTTCTCCAAGGATAGGGTTTTGCTACTAAGTCAAATTTCTTTACAATTTGAATAGACGATCAAACGCCCTTTCTTTAGATTAGGCATTTGCTCTATAGGGCTACTTCTATAGTAATCTATATAATACCTTGCAAAATAATGAAGAAGAAAAGATGGCGACATGATGATTTGGCAGGGGAAAACTTAAAGACACTATCACTTTCTAGGTATTTTCTATAGTAAAATAATACTAATTACATACTAAAAACTACAAAGGACTCTACTTTTAGTCCTTTTACTACACTGGTAATGGTGCAACAACCCGATCCTTTGGAAAGTAATTTTTATATCTGCCAATTAACCATAATTGTAGCAGTGCTAATCTAATAATTAAATAAAACTTTATTTATGACTTTACATAGATAATAAATTGAAATTTCTTAGATTCATATGAATTAGCGATAAATTCATGCAATAAATTTAACACATTTCATTGGATATTATTAATAGTGAAATCGTATACAATAACTCCCGATCGATTTATTATTAAAAACAAATATAATCAGCAAGTTTTTCTAGGTATAGAAGGTAAATAGCTAGATCTTAATCTAATATATATTATAAAGCTGTTGATAAAGTGAACAATCCTTTTGATTGCTACCGTAATCATGAAAGAAAATCTAATTACTGAAAGTAATTATTAATTTTCCAAATTTATAACAATTTATAGAGGGTGAACCTAGGCAAGCATTAGAATTTTTTAAGCCTATAACGTTGAGGGCTTATGATGGAATCGGGCGGGAAGTATTTAAAGTCCATCGTGGTCCATTACCAGCACACTTATGTTGTTATTGCTTGTCAACATCTGCGCGTATGCGGATGCAACTTACCTTCGAATCGCCATCCGGTACTCCGCTCTATTTACTTCGGCCGTAAGTAGTAAAGCCAAATTCTAACCCTTCCTAATATTTGTATTTCTACTTCTGCATGATATGTTATGAATAATCTCCGCTAACATCGAACTAAGTATAAAACTTAACTAAACAGGAGATAGCGAGACTTCTTGTCATGAATCATAAGTACTTATTAAGTAATTTAAAAATTCTGTTCTTGTACGTAACGTTCGAACTAGCTATAACGCTCATTACTTATAACCGACATGAATGAAAAAAATTATTTAAAAGTTATATATAAAGATAAAGGGAATGTCTTCGTGAAGCCCCCTCCTACGGAAGCTTATTTTG